ATATATATATATATATATATATACACACACATAATACGTATCTCATGCACGGTTTTCATATTCTTGTATACATCATGAATAATGTGTAAGCAAACACAGAAACAAATACAACACGTGCATGCATACATATGTGTATATATATATATACACACACACACACTTATATATTTGCGTTTGTGTACATACATGTATACTTGTGTGTATATACAAAGCTACACATATAAACATATAAATATCTTCAAGAACTTGAGATGTAATATGTATATAATACGGAATATATATATATATATATATATATATATATATATATATATATATATATATTATATATATACATATATACATACATACACACACAATACATATCCCCACAAACCCTTGCGTGCCTCCGCAACTATGCGTTTCAGCCGCAGTCGTGTCTGGTCCAATACTCGATCCTCTCTTTCGGGAGGGACCTGGCGGGAGCTGTGAGGATGTCGGGAAGGGTCGAGGGTTGAGGGTTGACCGTTTAGGGTTTAGGGGTTTAGGGTTGATACCCTCAAAATGAAAACAAAACGGGCAACCCTCCACCCATGCCAACCCTAAAGAAGACTATGAATCCTACACAGTAAACCTCTGTGGCATGTTTAAGCTCCAATGCCCGATACTTCTCACAACACCCCGCATGATGACCCTCAAAAGGTATATACCCCTTGCAATACCTCTTCCCGTACCACCTACAGTACCCGTTCAATAATTTTGGGGATTTAGGATCTCGAGTTCGGCCCAGCTCTTGACCGGGACATGGGGCCCAGGTCTTATATGGGTGGTTGTCAAAATTAGGGTCCCTTTGTGGGTCCCTATTATAATACGGCACCTAATATTTAGGGTACCCCAAAAGGGACCATAATTTTGACAACTTATCCATATTCAAGATTTTGACCTACGGGCCGTCTCTTGTCTTGAGACCTCTCGCGGAGTAGTGGAGTGCCCGGAAGCTCGAACTATGCCGCCCGGCTAGCGGAGGACTATACATGCCGATGAAAGTATCCTGCTGCAACTAACGTTCCGGAGGAGCACCCGATTGGTCCTGGCGGGCCTCTATTCCATGAAACCGTGTGTAGGCAATACTTTCGCCCTACTGCAGTAGACTTACGGATTTACGGTTTGGGTGTACTGCAGGTCTCGTCCACGAGATTTCTCCGGGTCTCCGGCCTCAAACCAGCCCCCGATCACGGGTTGGGGGGTCGACTGCTAGTTCTTCTGCGCAACCCTAATTTTAAAGCGCGGCAAGCCCTAAGACCGAGATCCTTGCAGTGTTTTACGGGATTGGCTCTGGGTCTGCCCATGGGCCCAGATAGTATAAACATGAACCCCAAGAAAAGGAACTACTATGGGGCCTGTGGGTAGTAACATCATGGGTTTGGCTTTGGCTGCGGGCTCAAGGTTTAACGTTTTTGGTGCGTGGTACGGCTAACACCCCGTGAAAGCAAGAACCCCCAGAGCCAGTAGGTAAATGCCTTATAAGCAGGGGGGTTTATGGTTGACCCAGTTTTTGGGATTACCTTAGAGGATGCTATATATGAACCCCCAAAAATTAAAAAGGAACTACTTTGGGGCCTTTGGGTAAAGGTTTAAGAAAAGTAGGTACCCTAAGCAGAGCGCCCTGAGTAAAGCCCTGATCTGGTATCCTGACTGGACCCCTCGGACAAGCTACCCTTAGTCGAGTCTCAACTCTAAATCCGAGACCCTAAAGCCTAACTAAACCCTGTAGCCTCAACCCTAAACCCCAAACCCTATACCTCAACTACCCGAATGGGTAAACCCTATACCATAAACCCTAAACCCTATACCCTATATGCCCTAAACCCTACCCCTATACCCAAACCCGACATACCTCCAAAAAGGCAGGCTGAGGGAGCCTGGAACTCCTCAATCACCTGCTCCATAGCCTCCCACGGTGTTGAGACTACAGTAGAGGCTCCATGTTGGAAACCACATAGCCTCAGTCCTTAAGAGTAATGTATACTCAGCACTATTTGGCCTGAAGCCGGTTTCCAACCTTTTGGGGTGTACTGTACTGCGCAGCCGGCTTCCATGGGAGCCCAAAGAGCACCAAAACCTAGAGCGAAACTGTAGCATAAAGGAGGGCTCTGTCTCTCATTATGGATTTGGTACTTGCGCAGCATCGGGCGTAGAGTTGCAGTAAGGCTCAAAAGTTTACTTGGAGGTTCATGGGTAGTTATAAGTGGGGCTATAAGTAGGGTAGCTATATACTTATAACCCATATTAGGGGACTTATACCCCTACTTATAACTACCCTAAATCCCTAAACAGTATAAAACCCTATGGAATACTATTGAACCCGTAAAGGAACCCTATAACCCTACTTATAACTACCCATGAACCTCCAAGTAGGCCCTAAACCCTAAACCCTTATAGAATCCCTATAGATCCCCCTTTAAAGGGACCCTTAAAGGAACCTTTATAACTACCCATAATCCTCCAAGTAGTCTACAACCGAAGTCTTGCGCTACCAGGGGAGGGGGCCCAAATTAGGAGCCCGCGGTCCGAAGTCCTAGCCCGTGAATTCCTCTTACGGGTTTAGGGGTTTAGGGTTTAGGGGTTTAGGGGTTTAGGGTTTAGGGGTTTAGGGGTTTAGGGTTTAGGGTTTAGGGGTTTAGGGGTTTAGGGTTTAGGGGTTTAGGGGTTTAGGGTTTAGGGTTTAGGGGTTTAGGGGTTTAGGGTTTAGGGGTTTAGGGGTTTAGGGTTTAGGGGTTTAGGGTTTAGGGTTTAGGGGTTTAGGGGTTTAGGGTTTAGGGTTGAGGGAATTGGGTTTAATTAGGGTTTAGGGATTAAGGTTTACGGTAAATGGACTTAAGAAGGCTTGACGGGGCTTAAGGGGGGCTGAAGAAGCTTAAAGGGGCTTAGAGGGGCCCATATAGTAGGTACTCAGGCCTTAAAGGGTCCCTATTTAGGTACTTTAAAGCCTAAGTACCTACAAAATGGACATGGAGCCTTAGGGTTAAACCCCATGAGGACGCAGAAGGGCACCCAGAGACTCCAATATCCCTTAATTAAGGAATATTCCTTAAATCATATTATAAGGATCCTACTATAGTTTAAGGTATATTCCTTAGTTAAGGGATATTGGAGTCTCTGGGTGGTGCAGAATTCCTCTGCATCCGTTCTTTGCGGCCCTGACCCTCCAAGAGCTCCCGGCCGTGCCGGGAGCACTAGAGTCTGCTTAGCTGCTGAACTCTCTGGTATAGCTTGTTTAGTATATTACAGTACATTACCGTATATATAAATATGAGTTGTCCATTTTGATAGTATATTATAGTATATGTATATGACCTATATTGAAGAACCCAAACCCTAATCCATACAGAATACCAACATCTTCACTCACAGCGCAAACTCCTCCTCCCCCTCCGACGCCGAAAGAACGGACCGCCTCCACAATGGCCACCGGGGTGTGGAGTTGGGAGGCGCGCTCCTGCCGAGAGGAGCAGCGAAGTCTGCTGCTTTGTCTTCCTGAAAACTTTGGGTCTGGTCTGGTGCTTGAAGGTTCATGGGTAGTTAGTGGGGTTATAAGTCCCCTGATATGGGTTATAACTACTTATAACCCCACTTATAACTACCCATGACCCAAAGGCTCCATGTGCCCATATAGTAGGTACTTAGGCCTTAAAGGGGTCCCTGTATAGGTACTTTAAGGCCTAAGTACCTACTAGATGGGCACATGGAGCCTTAGGGTCATGGGTAGTTATAAGTGGGGTTATAAGTCCCCTAATATGGGTTATAACTACAGTTACCCTACTTATAACCACTTATAACTACCCATGAGCCTCCAACTGCCTTCGGTATGGGAACGCTTGATTGCCACAGCAACAAGTGGACTGAGGCTAGCTTAACACCCAAGACAACCTGAACCTGGCATTTTGGGGCTTAATATTAGGATTTGCTGATCTGAGTCGTCCCGCGGCGACAGATTGCTCAAAACTCACTGTTGAGCATGATGATGATAGCTGCTGCTGTTGCTTGCGTTGACCTCACGTCCTGTGCGACTCACTTGTACCAAACTGCAGTATTTCCGGTAGTAATTCATCTCACTCACTGCTCTATACTATATTTGCTGATCACCTCCTGCTACTGTGACCACCTTCACCCTCATGTTGCTAGAAGTGCCTTTTGGCTGTCGTATCGAGGCATGAAAAGGCAAGTTCCCAACACACTAGTTCTGCTTACAAAGAGCTGCCTGTGCACAACGCTGGGCTGCAGTGGCTTAAAACACCGCTATCCATATGCTCAAAGCATGACCTCATGTCAGAAAGCCTAGATCACGTTTGTCTCTGTTTTCCAAGCACAGAGTCGTCGGGAGATCTCCACCGCACAGGTGTGCGCAATAACTTGACAGCCAACGCCTTCGCATATGGGCACGCCAGATGCGAGATTTGGCGCCGCTCTCGTGTCCTAGCGAAGCAATCCTTCTCGAATGGGCTGGGGCCAGCTACCCACCTTGGAAGGACGACTAAGTGCCCAGGTGCGACGGTTAACTCTTCTCACAAGGCGAGCACACAGCTCACGAACCAGCATCCCAGGTACACCACTAGCTTAGATTGTTGTTAAGCATCTGTTCGATGGATCCATATGTACCTGACAACGGACAGGACATCACAGGAAGAATGCCAATGCATCTGACCTTCGAGCTAAGATGCTCCCAGCCCATTATAAAGGGCGGCACTTGCTTGGTTTCGGGGCCCATTATACTATAAATAAAAGTACAACAAGGAACCCCAAAAACGGTATCAAATGGGTAATTTTTAAGGCCCCTAGAAAAGCGGAGTCATGGTGGCCACGAGCGGTCGCCATGCATTGGTGCTCGGAAGCAGGGTTCAAGGCTTCGGGTTCGGCGGGCCTATAGAGGTTTAGTTTTTTTTAATTTTTTTTATGGGCTCTTTTCCGAGGTTTAGGGTTTAGGGTGCAGGGTTTACTGCTTGGGGTAAAGGGGGTCAACCCTAAGGCGACCCCTCAGCCGAAGATGGGCTGCCGTCCGCTGCCATCACCGGCATCTTCAGAAAGTCCCTGTGGATCACCTGACCCAAAGGGTCCAAGTATCATGATGGTACATACTTAGACCCCCAAAATACCCTATAAGTATAGATCATAGTGATATTTGGATCCCTTGGGTGAGGCTTTTAAGACATTGGCCGTCACAGGGGTTATTTGTTGGGTCTTGGGTTTAGGGTTCGGGGCTTGTTTCGGCAGGCCTTGTGGCCAAGATCCTGATCCCGAAGAGCACTGCCGCGTTCATAGGAGTGTCATGTCAGAAAATCAGGGACCCCATCGGAACAGCATAGATCCTCAAGACAAGGGTCCTACCACGACCAGGATAACTTTGACTACTTGGAATACTGAAGAACACCATATGCAGGGCGCGAGTTTTGAGAGATTCTCTATTCAGTGGCCATAGCTGACATAGCTCACATTGGTGGTGGGTACAAACTGGACTTCAACAGCTCTCGGGGGCGTCCTGCAGCTAGCGCACAAAAATCTCTAAACTGAAACGGTTTACGGCTTAGGCAGCTTAGGGTTTGCAGCCAGGAAACGGCGGAGACTGATCCAGACCCTAAGTAGGAGGATCCTTGTAATCAGGAGCCCTGAACGAGATATCTACGACTTAAAAGTGAACTTGAGCAAACCCCCGGGCTTCGTGGCTTGCGCCAGCAGCTCAGCGACAGTCCCAGAGAGCCCAATACCCCTAAGTAACTACGGAATTTACTTTAATTTACAGGGGCCTTAATATTTTTGTTCGCGGCAATTTCATGTTATTCCTTAGCGAATTAAGAAGTATAACGTAATATACCTTGAATTGTAGGGGCCTTAAGACCATGCTTCAACCACATGAGGGGCATTGGGCTCTCTGGGGACAACTTCCTGCGCGACTTGGAGTTACGGCTGGGTTGCCAGAAGCAGGCCCAACTGCTAGCTTTCCCCTAAATACTGCCCATCCCAGAGGCGATCTCCCCCAGCTGAGCAACTGGAAAGCCAAACTATAGGCAAACAAGAACTTCGAGCCACGAACCAACAACGAAAGTATCAAGCTCTGAGACCATCCAAAATCCCAGTTCCAGAACCCAACGGCCTCGACTCTTTGTGGCCCATCCTAAACCCTGAATCCGAAACCCTAACCCCCCACAGAGTCCTTGTAAAACTCTGACACGGGACCTTACGGTAAAAGGAACCCTAAAACCATGAACCCAAACCATCTCAAAAAAACGAACCTCTCTTGAAGCCCTATACGAACAGTCATGCAAGCCGAGGCCCGCCCGAAGAACAAACGGACTCCGGAAGATTGAAACACGGCCGTGTGCCTCCATCTCGTCTCTCGAGGCCTCAATGTCGAAGAGCGTATGCACCTCATTGGGGTCTAGAGTTTAGGGTTGCCCAGAAGTAAAAGTAACAAGTCTGGATTGGTCCTAGGTTAGTTGCAATGAGAATAAAGCAGATAGGCAGTAGTAAGGAATAGAGAATAATTTCCTGCTTAAGCGGCTATATCTTAAATTATACAGGGGTCCCTTATGCTAAGCATCTAATAGGGGGGATTCTGGGCGCGTTCAGGGTTTGTGAGGAACATGTATATGTGTACATAGGTATACACATATTTATATATACACACACACATCTGTGTGTCTGTATACATCTGTGTGCATGTATCTAAATACCCTAAAGGATAAGTAATTAAGGTGCCTAAGCACCTGATTGGGGTTTATGGGAATTTGTGAATAAGAAGCTCCCAAAATAGGGGGACCTCTAATGTGATTTTAAGCATATACCGCAAGTAAGTTGTGCAAACACTGATCGGGTTCTGAGTATTGTCACATTCATGCATACATGTATATTGATACGTATATACATATATCTATCCTTTTCCTCTCATTGTATTAATATTTGGGCAGTAGTAAGCCAGTAGAGGCACTTGGTCTTCTATGGAGGGTTCACAGCTTCGGGAGAATTCATGTAGCTTAAACTTGTGGCTTTCTAGTTGTAGCTCCTCAACCCTAAGCTCTCTACGAAAATCTGGGTCTTTAAACTCTACACCAGAAGCTTCCCGCAGCAACAATATTAGGACTTTAACACGTGGAAAACGGGGTCTGGGTGTCTCTTTTTACATCTGCTATACAGTCGTTGTATATAGGGATTACGGGTACTATCACTCGGTATTCCAACCCGTATATGATACCCCAAGCCCCAAATACTACCTGGACCGTATAACACCTACCTTTGTCGGGCTCTTTATTATGAGTTTCTTATTTGGGTCCTTAGCCAAGGTAGGCTATTTGGGCTTACGGTGCACTCCTCGTTCATTCCTGAGTAGCCCCTTTCTAGTAAGGATACCGTTCTCCTAGTATTCAGTTTTAATCAGGGGACCCTCAAATACAAAGGGCAAAAGGGTACTACTCGGGAACCTATTAGAACCCTTCAAGGATCCCTCATACTAAAACCCTATAAGGAACCCTAAACCCTACACCCTTATAGACTCCCTGTATGTAGATCCCTTTAAAAGGACCCTAAACCCTTACAGATCCCTTATAGAACCCTTCAAAGATCCCTCATGGCGCCGATCAAAAAAGGGCACCTACACTCTGTTCAGCTCGGAGGCCTCAAAAGCTGGGATGAAGGTAGGTGGGATATTCCCAAATAAGAGTCCTTATATAAGGGATCTGTAAGGGTTTAGGTTCCTTTTAAGGGTCCCTTTAAAGGGATCTGCATACAGGGATTCTATAAGGGTGTAGGGTTAATCCTACCTAAACCCTAAACCCTAAACCCTAAACCCCTAAACCCCTAAACCCCTAAACCCTAAACCCCTAAACCCCGAACCCCTAAACCCTAATCCTACCTACCTTCATCCCACATTTTGAGGCCTCTGTTCAGCTCATTCCGAGGTCGCAGCGGCTTGCTTTGCGGCCTCCTGCTCTGAGACGCTCAGCCCGAGCGACCTTTGGGTTTAGGGTTTAGGGTTTTAGGGTTTAGGGTTTTAGGGCTTAGGGTTCAGGGTTTAGGGTTGTAGGGCTTAGGGTTCAGGGTTTAGGGTGTGCGCTGTGTCCGCTCGCGCATCCTTCACGGGCCGGCTCCCGATACTGCTTTCACGCCGGCCCTCACCATTTGCGCTCGCTATGCGTAGCTCGTATTCCCACCCCAGCCGCCCTAGCCTCGACCTTTCAGGGTTTAGGGTTCCCTTCTAGGAGGAACCCTCGTGTTCATTCTCACCTACTCCTCTTGGTTCTCACCATATTGGGTGCATCAGTGCCGATGGGTTGCCGTGAGTAACGTAGTTCTCATGCATAGAATGTGAATATACAAGTATTCATCTGTGCGTGCATGTCTATAAATATATATATATATGTGTGTGCGTATTCCGTTTATACATGTATACATGAATGTGTGTATGTACAGGCTGTGTATGTAGTTATGCGGGGTGAGAGGAGGTAGAGGTTCGTTGGGGCGTGAAGGGCGTAGACCGGCACGGGCCAACGAACCGATGGGTTGGTAGAGATTCCCTTCCAACCTCGATCATGAGGTAGAGTATGTGCCGGTTGTGCAATTTCTGAAGAACGAGAAAGAACCTGGCCGCTTTCGATGATCGGACAAGAAAGAGCGAGAGGCATCGACTTTGGGACATGGCTCGGCGGCATTCCCACAACTTGTCACCATTCGCGCTTTCCTTTTCCATCGAAAACCCTCTGGCAACTAGAAATCCCAACGAACCAATGGGTTAGTAACTAGAAATCCCAACGAACCAATGGGTTAGTAGAGGTCCCCTGCCAACTTGGATCATGAGATAGAGTATGACGATCGGTTGCGTAATTTCGGTTCCTCTGTGCATCGAAAGACGTCTCTCGCTCTAGCTTGTCCACTCTAACGAAAGGCGCTCGATCGCTTTCAGCACAAAAGAACGAGAGAGAACTAGAGCGAGACATCGAGTTTGGGACAGGGCTCGGCGCAGCCGCTTTGCTGCAGAATGTTGCCTTGACAGGCTTGGGCAGAGAGGAACCGCAGATGGCTTAAAGCGGTCACATGCCAAAAAAAGGCTGGTTTTGCTACAGAACGTGGCCCCGACCACCTTGGGCACCCACGAGCACTCGAGGGTCCTTTTGTTGATCCGGGCTCCAAGGGACAGAGTGTGGAGTTTCGGACCGGTTTAGAGTCAGCACATAAGAACGGTTTTGCTGCAGAATGTGGCCCCGACCTGCTTGGGCACAGACGAGCACTCGGGAGTGCATTTTTTGATCCGGGCTCCCAGGGACGAGCACTCGAGGGTCCCTGTTCTAATGTGGGCTCCGAGAGACAGCTTTTGGGAATTTCGGGACCGCTTTAGAGCTGCCACACGAAAAGAAAGGAGCAGGGACGCTCCGCCTTGGCGAGGGCCGTTGCAGGGACACTCCGCCTTGATGGGGGGGTTTAGGGTAATCTTTCTATTGCGCACATCGCATACGGGCTCGTGCGCAGCTCCCGCTACGGCTGGTCGCGTGGGCTGTGTTTCGCCCAAGGCCCTGCGCGCTTACGCTCGTTGCTCCGGGCCCGCTGCGCACCGGGTGTGCTTCGCTGCGGCTCGGCGACTGTATCACTCGAAGCGCCTCGCCTCAGTTTTAGGGCTTAGGGTTCAGGGTTTAGGGTTTTAGGGCTTAGGGTTCAGGGTTTAGGGTTTAAGGGCTTAGGGTTTTAGGGTTTAGGGTTTAGGGTTTTAGGGTTTAGGGTTTAGGGTTTAGGATTTAGGGTTTTAGGGTTTAGGGTAGCGATCTTGGCCGAAGCTCTGGAAGTCCGGGGCTGTTTGCTTGGAGGTTCATGGGTAGTTATAAGTGGGGTTACAGGGTTCCTTTAAGGTCTCAATAGTCTTATATAGGGTTTTACAGGGTTTAGGATAGTGATAAGTGGGGTTAGAAGTCCCCGATTATGGGTTTATAGTTACCGTATATACTTCTAACCCCACTTAGAACTACACATGAACCTCCAAGTAAGCCCGAAACCCTATACCCTTATAGAACCCCTATAGATCCCTTTAGAGGGACCCGTAAAGGAACCCTAAAAACTACCCATGAGCCTCCAAGTGGGCTGTTCACTTGGAGGATTAAACCATCTTGTTCTTTGATCTTCATACAATGTAGACGAACAAGTGTGTGAGTTTCACGGAAGTATCGAAATGTCGAACTGGCTTTATACTTTGAGGAGCAGGGGACTTTGTAAATAGGGTTACCAGATAAAGGTGACAATGCATAAACGCTAGATTCTGGCAACTGCAACTCCTCTGATGTTTCCCTGAACATTCTCTTATCATAAAGTCAAATTGAAATTCGGATGTTAGGCAGCATACTTTTGGTCAAAGGCTTGAGCGTCTGCAGCTTGCATCCAACCTTGTGGGCTTCTTGTTTGTTTTTAAGGTTTCGGGGAGTTGATGAGCAACCACTCTCATGACATGCTTGGAGGTTCATGGGTAGTTATAAGTGGGGTTATAAGTCGGGTAACTATACTTATAAACTTATAACCCATATTCGGGGACTTATAACCCTACTTATAACTTATAACTACCCATGAACCTGCAAGTGCTCATCCTTGAGGTTCAGACGCCCCCTGGATGCAGTCGAAGGCCATGAGACGTGTTTCTGCCAGGCGGGCATAGGTTGAGGAGCTTTGAGGCTGTCGATTCGTTGTTTGATGGGAGGCCAAAAGGGGGGGTTAAGATTCTCGGGGTAGGGATTCCTTAATATGAACCCTATTATGGGAACCCTAATCCCTACTAAACCCCCATAGGCTAAAACCGCTTTTGGCCTCCTATGATTGCTCAAGGGGTGTATGCGCCCGCAAGCAGGCTTCTCGGACGAATGCAGGGGACAGAATAGTTCATATTCTTAGGGTTCCTTACTGCAAGATCATACAAATCCTACAGCCGTAAACCCTACAACCTAAACCCTAAACCCTACAACATGTGGGAAGGCGGTCTGCGACAAAGGCCCGCAAACTTCGAGGTGTATTCCTTGATTAAGGGGTATTGGGCTCTCTGGGTGTAGTTTTGTGACACACAGAGCCTTAAGGGTATAGGGGTTTAGGGTTCAGGGTATAGGGGTTTAGGGACTTATGGGTAGGACGTAGCCTGAAAGGTGTACGGGTATAGGCGCTATAGGGGTTTATGGTGTAGAGTTTCATGGATTCAAGGCTATGCACATCATGATGGCCATTGCAAATTCAGGTGCAAGAGGGGCGGCATGTCACCAAGAAAATTGGCAGTCACTTCTGTTTATTGGTCTGTACTGAATGATATATCTACTATTTGCTTAAGAACCCCCAAAAAATACAAAAAATAGTCCTTATGGGGGTAATATAGGGATTATTATTTTTATTTTTTGGTGGTTTCTTAAGCAAATAGTGGATGATATATCGAACATAAGCACCAGGCAGGACATGAACCGCAGTCTTACACTCAACCCTTGACTACAAGCCCTATCTGAAGCCCCAAACCCTGCCGAATAGCAGGGAATAGCCCCACATAATTACAGGGTATAGCCGCTAAAGCCTGCACTTGTTGGAACCCCCCCAGGGATATACAAGCACAAAGCCCATTCACGAAGCTTGAGCTCGGAGAAGCAAACACAACTGCGATCCCACTACCAGGGGCAGGGTTTAGGGTTTGGGGTTTAAGCGACTTCTAACTTACTCTCGCCCGAAACAGCTGTCCGAGCACAGAGTATACTCGGAGGTCCATGGGTAGTTGTAAGTGGGGCTATCAGTCCCCTCATGGCTGCCTTAATTATGGGTTATAAGTATAGCTATCCCACTTCTGACTCCACTGATTACTACCATGAAACCCCAAGTATGAGCCCCACTTCACATAAAAAGGTGCCTTCTTGGTGCACTTTGCCTGAGCGACGGCTCCGAGAGGTCTACGTTCAGAGTCTGGGCTTTAGGATATAGGGCATAAAGTTTAGGGGCGGGTAATGTAGGAACATGATTAAGAAACCGTGGGCCTTTATTCGAGTTCCTTATATGAATCCAGCGATTTGTTTTTTTTGGGGGGTTATAGGCCCAGGGGTTCTAAATCAAGTTCCTACAGTAGCCAATGCTTTCATTCCCGAAACGTGCTGGACACCCCGCAAGGAGACCGGTCTCACCCGCTCTTGTTGTCCGCAGTAAACATGGGTTTTGGATGATTGGCGCTGGGTTTAGGGTTCAGGGTTTCGGGTTTCTCTCTAAATTATCGGACTTAGATATTGATGTTCCCACTTCCAGTCTTCTAATTGCTCGGAAACCATACTGGGGCCATTTGTAGACTTAAATATGTTAGCAACCGTGACCTTGACCTTAAACCATTAGATGTGGGCTTCTCGGTTTGAGGATTGAAACGGTAGTCTGTACAATGAAGACCACATCTCCATGAGCTTCGGTTCGCCAGGTGCAAACAGGTACAAAGGCCGCACCCGAGTCACCCGAGCCATGTAAGGCCAGCAAGAACATAATCCTGAACTCTGCGTCCCAGGCCTTCAATCCTAAACCGTCGAAACATTTGATGCACATGTCATGCCTCCTGTCGGAGATTGCCTGAAGCTCTAACGGAGCCTTAATCCTTAACTGACTCCAACACACCCCCGAAGCTCGAGTAGAAGAGACTCGAATGACAACTGTTGTATCTCAGTTGCATGATCATCAACATAAAGAACCCAATCCTTCGGTACTTGCATCGAGCAGATCATGTACACATGAAAGGAATGGTAGAACCAGATCACTGGAAATTCAATCCCATCCCATCAACAGCTTGGACGTCCCTGAACCCTAAACCCTATCAGAACCACCACCGACCACTATGGAGACCTCGATGATTAGCCAGATTTCTCGTCTTTTCGCGTCGGTGCAGCTAGAGTCTCTGTACAATCTGTCCACGTCCCAAACCCCGTCCCAATAGTTTCTCCTTCAATCTCAAGGACCAAGCCCCCAGACCCGGGAAAAATCACCGGCCTTTGTCTGGAAAGAGCTGCTTCACTTCTTTGTGGTTCTTGCAGGGGCGCAGGGCATGAGGTGGAAGGCAGTCTAGGGGGTTTTGACATGGGGCCATAGGGCTTCATGATGGGTTAGGTGGTCTGGTGTTTTAGAAACCTAGGGTTTAGGGACGGAGTTAAGGAACTGGAGCAGGAAGCTCAACCTGCCACATTTACTAAGCCCTAAACCTTTAACCCTATAAACCCTAAACCTTAAACCCTAAAGCCTAAACTAAACCTTAAACCCTCTAAACCCTAAACCTTAAACCCTAAAGCCTAAACCTTAAACTTAAACCCTCTAAACCCTAAACCTTAAACCCTAAAGCCTAAACCTTAAACTTAAACCCTAAAACCTAAGCCTGAAGCCCTAAGCTGGGGTTCAGCTCAATCACTTGAAGGAACCCCTGCTTCCCGTGGAATCTCGCCTGCCTGGACTTATGGGAATAACGTATGAGGCGCACATGTCGCCGACAGTTCCGTGGGTATGTATGTTACATACAGGATGTATATACATGCGTGTATATATATATATATATATATATACATATATATATACATAAATATATATATATATATATATACGTATACACATCCATACCTCCGTCCATCCATCCATGCACGCAAGCATACATACATACATACATACATACATACATACATACAGACATACATACATGCATACAATGTACATATATATATATATGTATATGCATATGTATACGCAAGCTACGTGTGTGTGTGTATATATATATATATATATACATGTATAGATGTAGTTCTACATGCATGTCGACGTAGATAGATCTAGATCTTGAGCATCTGTGCAGAGGCTGCGGAGGAACACAGACGCCCCTACTGGGGGTTCATGGGTAGCTATAAGAGTCCGTACGGTACAGCGGTTTCTGGTCTAGGGGTTACTTGGAGGGTCGGGGGACTTAGTAACTGGTTACTTTAAGGAATTATAAGTACCATAACCCCAAGTAGGGTCCCTTTTAGGGTACTTATAAATCTACTTACTACCTACTTACTAGGTCCCCCGACCCTCCAAGCAGGGTTTAGGGGCAACTGCTTAAAGGTCCATGGGTCGTTATACATGGGTTTGTAAGTTTAGGGTTTAGGGCTTGGGTAGTCTTTAAGTAAGAGTAAGTAGGGGCTTCTATCTCCCATCATAACTACTCGTGCATCTGCAAGTGCCCACGAACCCTAAGGGTTGAAGCTAAGGTTGCCCTGGTTCGATGACCTCCTTCCGAAGAAGAACTTAACGAAGAAACAAAAAAAGATGATCGCATCGACCCTAAACCCTAAACCCCGCCTTTAAGTAGAAGACCTTGATCGGGAACTCGTGTGGCTGCAGCGGATTTGCGCTTTCGTATCTCCCCACTACCTGCAGCCCAGGGGTTTAGGGGCTTAGGGTTTTAGGGCTCAGGGTTTAGGGTTTATAGGAGTTCAGGGGCTCTTTCGGTGAGGGGTTTAAACGGCGTCTCTGCAGCCTCGGCGATATTTTGGTTCATGTGCAGATTTCTGCGCCAGGGTTCTTGAATTGGATGGAAGCCGCAGGCTACATATGTTACGTTCTGCTTGAAATCTATGCCGCGCACGAGAGAAAATGATACAAGAATGACCCGACTCCCGAAAGTCACAAAACTCCAAAGCCAGCCACAAACGAAGGCTACGACCTAGCTTCTCAAGCCAGAAAAGCTTGAAAGAATCGTTTCAAGCCTCTTCATAGGTCAAAAAGGTGTGATTTGCGGTGTAGATGACGCAGTTCTCCTGACGAAGCACAGGAAGACGATGGACTAGACCCAAGAGTAACCTAGGAATAAAAGGGACGCCGTTTTGGGTGTGAAGAGGGTTATAAGAGAACCTGAACCCCAAAAAAGGGAATAAGGGCCTACTCTACCCAACGGCCCCATAGTAGTTCCTTTTTGATTACCTTATAGGATTCTATATATGAACCCCAAAAAAGGAACTACTTTGGGGCCTTTGGGTAATAGCCGAGGCCTCTGGGTTTCCCAGTGAGCCCCAGGCCCCGTTCGGGAATGGAACTTAAACCATAAAGATCAAGGCCCCTACGGTTTAGGGTTTAGGGGTTTAGGGTTTAGGGGGTTTAGGGTTTAGGGTTTAGGGGACTCCCACAAGGGCCTTTAATAGAGCCCTTACCGCCCTTAATACTTGGTATTCAGGGTATAATTTACGGTGTAATAGAGGGTAGTTGGGGGTTTAGGTAGAAGCTGAGGTATATTCCTTAATTGAAGGGTAATGGGCTCTCTGGGTCGTGGTGCAGTGGAGCGTTACACTGAAAGGTTGAACCAGGGTGTAGCTACATTTGTTTTGGATCAAGTTTGCCGAAACAATCCCTCCGAACCAGAAAGCATCCCTACCGAGACACTACGGCCACCAACTGCCAGCTCCGTCTGATCAAAGGCCCCAAACCCTGAACCTTATTAGTTAGAAGGGGCCCCCACCCTGTAATAGTGGTATACTAGGAATATAATCGGGCCCTAATATGATCCTTATAGTCGCTATTACAGGGTAGGGGCAGCTTCTAACTTATGAGGCCCTCAACTCCGAAAGGCAAACCCCAGCGAAGCTGGAGACTCCCCGCCAATGAAGCTCAAAACACACACAGTCAAACTGGAAAAGGAGGGACCCTTAATGGGGACCCCTACCCTTTAAGGGTCCCTCCTTTTACCCCTTGGACACAGGAAACATCTGAGCCCGGACTCTGCCTCCCAGAACCAACAAACCTAAACCTTCAACCAACCAAAACAAACCATAAACTCGAAGCCATTTACAGGTGGGTAGTTTTAAGGTAGGTAGTCTCCCATAAGCCTTCCATACCACTCCTACAAGGTAAAGGGGTCTTAGGGAGTACCATGGAAGAGGAACTACCCACCTGTAATGGGCTTCTATTTAAACCCTGATAACAGGATCCCACATCTCGGTAACCAGGGTTGTGCATACGTTAACTATACTTGGTAGCTACTTGCAACCCAAACTAAGGCACTCGTAACCTGGCTTGCCACCTCCCATGATCCTCCAAGTGTACTTGTCTGCCAAACCCAAGCCCTAAACCCCTGAACCCTGAACCCTAAAACCGTTAAACCGGCTCGAAACCCTAAACCCTAAAACCCCAAACACTTCAGCCGGCCCCAAACCCCTAAACCCATAAACCGGCACTAAACCCTGACACCTCAACCCCTGAACCCCAGAAAGCTTAAACGGGCCCTAAACCATAACACCCTTAAACCTAACCTAAACCCCCAAACCCCTAAGATAGCCTTATAGTAATCCTTAAAGGATGCCTTAAAAGGACCTAACCCCTCAACCTGTGCCCCGTCCTTGCGAGGAGGAGGACGCAAAGCCTCCAATCGAGCCTCTGCCTTGTCGTGGTAGATGGTCTCGACGTTGCCCTGCTTTACTTAGCGTTTAAGGTTTGGGGTTTAGGGTTGAAGGTTTAGGGTTTAAGGTATCGGGTTTGGGGTCTAGGGTTTAGGGCTTATTTGTCCTTTGAAGAGCCATATTCCACCTCTATTGTCGATGTTGCCCTGTTTGGGACTTACCCGGACCCTAAGAAACCTGCCTTTTCGGTGTTCCTTGATTCCTTGGTTTCTAGAGGTCCTTCAAAAGGCAGGTAGGTAGGTTATTGGGAGTTAAGGTAGGGTTTGAGGTTGTGGGTATAGATTTGGGCGTTTAGGGTTTAGGTTTATAGAGTTTAGAGTTCATCTATAGTCTCCAGTGTCGTTTCTTTTACTGGCCAGCTAACTAGGATCCTAAATACAAAACTGGTTGCACCAAAGGGGAACTACAACGGAGACTACAGGTAGGGCTCCTTTGAACGCCCCTGCGGTTCCCCTGCTAACCCTACCATTAACACTAGGTTTAGGAGCTTCGGAGTTAGGACGAGAAATCCGGCTTGAAGTGGAAGTAGGTGGAAGGGTTTGGTGTTGTAGCGGATTGGGCTCTCAAAGGGTCCAAGTACCACTATAGTAGCTATTTACTAGATACTTGGGCCCCAAAAGTATAGACTATACCATTACTTGGACCCTTTCGGTCATTTTGGCGTTCCGAGGCTTATGAGGCTTCAGGTTGAGGGCGAAGATCTTGCAGTGCTCAGCCCGGATTCAATGGGGCCCCCAAAAAGGCACATAAGCAAACATAAGGATAGGGATATCCCATATAAACCCACTTAAAAAGGAAGCCCAATAAGGTAGGGATATCCCCATAACATGCTTATGCTTATGTGCTTTTTGGGTCCCTAATTCAAGGCATTCAAGGCAGCACGATGTGACACTCACGTGCTGTCTACTTGAGGCTGACGTTTCGCCTTCGATCATCCCAGGAAACCCAGGGCCCGAACGGATAATCTTGGGGGCCTTAACTTAATCAATAGAATAGGGTTTTGGTGCATATTATACTATACAATAATAATAATAATAATCATAAGGATACCCCAGCATGTACAGGTAACCTTGACAACTTGAAGCCCCCGGTGGATCCTGAATGACTCAGGCTCCACCAAAGTGCGAAAGTGGTATGGGCTGGGACGAAGGACAGGATCCACAACCACACTTACCACAACAATATATGGGTGGTTGTCAAAATAATGGTCCCGTTTTGGGAACCCTAAATATTAGGTGCCGTACTGGGCGTGCTATATACCCAAAAAGGGACCATAATTTTGACAACCACCCATATAACAATCATGAAAATCTGCAGGGTCAACACCATCAACCATCTTAAGCTGGAACGTTCACTATCACCATTCTCATCGTCATCCTCACCATCCTCAGAATCACAGCCGATGTTACCTTAATCATCCGATTCATCTTCAGCCTCGCTATCCTCAGCCGCATAATATTGATCCACCTCATCCGCGCGACCATGCTTCTAGGATCTATCACCATAGCCAGCACAATCATGAGCACCATCTTCAGTCGGTTTAGGGTTTAGGATTTCAGTCATGATTCTTTATCCGTCGCACCATCATCACAAGCAGCATTGCATCCGCATCCTTGTCCGCCACCTCTCCGCAATGCTAGCATCGTAACCACCAGCAGCAGCACGATTCGCGGCTCAAACGGCATCTCCAAACCCTGGAGAACCCGTTCACAATGTAGAAATATCTATTGAAACGGCGCAGTTTGAAACCTGCACTGACATGTTGAGGCTTCAGAAACATCGGGGTTGAGCTTCAAATAGGCTTCTTAGATTCAGTGATTCCACACGTCAAGAACAGTGGGACCGCGGAGTCAGGCGCCTCATGGTCCTCAGCTCTGAGCGGATACTCTTCTTGCTGCAGCCCAGCCTTCACGGCCTCCAGAGCCTGCATTTGCCGGACATGCGGACACAAGACCTTACGGGTTTAAGGCTTGGGGTTTAGCGTTTAAGGTTTAGCGGGGTTAGTTTAGAGAGTCTGTTTTTTTGTTGAGCTCCTTTTCTGCCTGAGAGTCTGTGGGTTTAGGGTTCAGGGTTTCCGGACCCCCGCTACATCCCAGGTCTTTGGGATGTCCCTCTGTTGCTTTCATGGAAGAGAGCGGTTTGCACCAAATTCTCGTTCAAGGGTCTTCTGGCCGTGGCCTGTTCTCACTCTACTTGGAAGTTCGTGGGTAGTTGTAAGCGGGGTCAGAAATGGGGTGCAACCATACAATTCTTATAACTTATAGCCCATATTAATTAGGGGACTTTTAACCCCATGTACAACTACTCTTGAACCTCCAAGTAGACTCTAAACCCTACACCCTGATAGAATCCCTGTAGAGCCCTTAAAAGGGACCCTTAAAGGAGCCGTTATAACTACCCCATGAACCTCCAAGTTGGGTTGAGAGCCGATGAAAGTGTCGGGGAAATTGGCAATCTGAAACGAAGAACCCACAAAGGCTTCCTAGGTAGGGCTCTTAAGCCCAATAAGGGAAAATATAACATGTCCCAAAGCCCTACCTAGAAGAATCCACAAAGGCTTCATTCGGAAATCTCATCATGGGTTTAGGGTTTAGGTTTGAGTGACACGCGAGAAGGACGTTTTTGCAAACCATCGTAGTGCAGGCGTGGGTATCTCGGTTTCTGATTATATACTGAAAACTGTTTGCATCTTTCCCTTGCCAGGCCCTAAACCCTAGAGCCCTTTAAGGAAGAGTCTCAACAACCCTAAACCCTACACACTGAACCTTAAACCCTAAAACCAAAACCCTGAAACCTAGACCCCAGAGCCTAAACCCTAAGACCCTAAACCCCTAAGACCCTGCAAGCCGCGCCTTCTCCACTTCTTTCGCCTCGCCGGTCAGCACTCTGTTCTGCCGGGTTCTGACCTCGCGGAGCTCCTGGCAAGAAGGGTTTAGGATTTGGGTTTAGGGTTCAGGGTTCAGGGTTCTTTTTTTTTAAAAAAAAAAGTGCAATAGCCCTCTTTCGGTTCAGGGTTCAGGGTTTAGGGTTTGGAGTTTGGGGTTGAGGGTTTCGGGTTTGCTGCAAGATTGCGTAGCGGCAGTGTAACATGGATTGTAAGATTTATTAGCGAATCGCAGCCATGGCCCGACTGTGGGGGGCCATCACATAACTCACCCACCCCACGCCGTCCGAGGTGGCAAACCACCCAAACCTCTACCTTTCAGGATTTAGGACCTAAACTCTGTTAGGTCCATGTTGGTTAACAACAACCACACAATTCTGCAGCCAAGCTTCTGCTCCTCAGGAGGCAGAGCAGGGCAGGAGAGGGCAGGGCAGGAAATTTCAGTTTTGTCCAAGTACTCTGGAGCTTCCAGCCCCCTGGGGGGCCCAATTTGGGGGTGCCCAAACCAGCCCAGGATTTGTAGCAGGGTTAGGGTGATGACTTTATTAAGGGACCAGTACTGGTCCCGAAAAGAACGTGTCCCGGTACCGGGCCCAACATGGGTGCTACAGCACCCCTAGCTGTGGGACGGCAGGCGAGCGTGCTGGATCGACCGCGCCATCGATGTCGGGCGGGGGCCTTAAGCGCCGCCCACCATCGAAGGTGGGCGGCCTAGGCCATGAGTTTAGGATTAAGGCTTAAGGTTTAGGGTTTAGGTTTAGGGTTTGGGGGTTTAGAGGTTTAGGGCTTATAGCGCTTATAGGGTTTAGGGGGTTTAGGGTTGGGACAACCGAATCAAACCACAGACTTCCACGGAAAGCCAGAAGAAAGCTGGAACATCATGACCCTTATGCCGCTTATGCCCTGAACGTAAAGCATAGGAATTCCAGCATCGATCATCCTAAATTCATGTTCCGACTTTCTGGGGTTCACCATAAACCCTCGACCGGGTTTCTTGCCCTGAACCCAGAACCCTAAACCCCTTGAAGGGCAACAGGCTTCTGAAGATATTCGTGCCGTGGATTCGCTTGCGTGATACCGGTCTGGGAAAATTTAGTCTGCCGTAGTAAATAGAAGAAAGGGTTTTGCGGGTTCCTCATGAGGGTTATAATAAAATGTACCCCGAAACCTTTTTCTAACTATTAAGGCTCCTATAGTGCAGCTCCCTTCGTACACCTCATTGCTAAAAGCATCGTTGACCGCGGCTGATACGAACAACTGCGAAGAACCCGTCAAGGACCCTTGTTTTGATGCGGTCTCAGGGTTAATGTAGGAACCTGATTAAGAAACCCTGGGCATATAACCCCCAAATAGTAGGCTTCATATAAGGAACCCAAATACAGTCCCAGGGTTTCTTAATCAGGTTCCTACATTATTCGGCCTCAAAACCTGTTCAGGGCCGCAAGACAAGCCTTGGTAAGAGCCCCACTCTACCCAAAAGCCCCAAAGTAGTTCCTTTTTGGGGATCATATATCGAATCCGAAAAAAGGTAATCCCAAAAAAGGAACTACTATGGGGGCCTTTTGGGTAGTCGCGAAGCTCGCCTCGAAACTGCCCTGCACCCATATTTGGGGGTTTCCGAAAATTAGGGGTACCTTAAAGGGATCTAATTGGGTCTATGAGGGTTCTACAAAGGGTTTAGGGTTTAGAGTTTCCGAAAATTAGGGGTACCTCCGTTTGGGGTCCTTATAAGTAGGCTCCTACTATTTAAGGTGCTATATTGGGGTCCCCTATTTTCGGAAACTCCCACATCCTAAACCATGCGCGGAAACTCAGGAGCCTCACGGCGTGGCATCACGAATACCGACAGTTGCTTCATGTCGGCTCCAGACCAGATGTCGACGATCTCGGCCTGCTTGAAAGGACTCTGGACACTCTAAACCACAGCTGCACTTCGCGGTGCAACAACAAGAATAGCAACAGTTTCAACGTTATCACCCGACGGATATCAACACCAGCAACGGTGCGTGGCGACAAGCAATGTACGAGCAGAGCCTGCGAAATGACTGCGATTTGGGCTTTAGGGCAATAATTAAGAGTAGTAATCATAGTTATACTACTCACGGTAGTACGAATAGTCATCATCGAAATGACAATAGTGATGAGAACAATAACACTAACAATGATAATAATTATGATAAAAAAATAATGTACAAGGCCGTCGGGTCTCGGGCTGGCTTGGATGGTGCTGCTCGAGCTGGGCATCCGCACATACACTCGCGCCAAACGTGAAATCATCGGGAGAATGACGGCTATGGGTTTGAACTTGAAGGTGAACGTCTTGCATGGGGTTTAGAGCTTTTAGGGCTTAGGGCTTAGGGGTTTCGGGGTTTAGGGTTTCGAGCTTTAGGCTCTCGTCTCTAGGGTTTTAGTTTGGCGTTGGGGATTAAAGCTTTAAGGCTTTCAGGTTGGTGCTCGACAACCCAAGCCAAAACCCCTGAAAGAAGACTCCTCCCATCCTCCCATGGACAGGGTCGACGAACCCGGCTCGAACGTCAAAGGCTTATGGGAGTCGATTTTCTGGTCTGAGAGGTCTAAAAAGCTAAATGCCAACATTTACGGATTCTGGGTCCTGTTCCATGCGGAGCGTGTGAAATTCCGTGCACTGGCTCCTGCGGAAAGCCTGGTACTTTGCTTAAGCCAAAAAAGCCTATAAGCACTCACAAAAGCCCATAGCAAGGAAGCCCAAACACGTAGGTTTACAAGGTGCAGGCAAGGGTTACTTAGGGTTATACGACAAAGGTTACTAAAAGGATAACAATGTTGGGGACTTCGCGGCGGGCTGAAACCTGATTGACTTCGGGTGCCGGGCTTATCGTTCAACTACGACTGGTGGTAGTAGTAATGGTAGGAATAAAAGTAGTAGCAGCAGTAGTGGTAGTAGTAGGTAGTAGTAGTGGTGGTAGTAGCAGCAGTAGTAGTCGTCGTAGTAGCAGTAGTAGTAGAAGCCGTAGTCGTAGTAGGAGCACTAGTACCAGTACCTCATACGTACTCGTGCCAGCTGGTATAGCCCTGTCCTCCTGTGCGCATAACCAAGTGACCAGGAATCAACACTCAGCCGGCCTCCCAGATGTTTCCAGGAAAGTCGAACTCCCCATCGCCGGCGAAAGCCGCACCCTCTCCTGTGGGGTTCACCAACTTCGGGATCAGGTTTCAGAGAAGACATGTTTGATGCTCAAGCATGTGATACGATTGACGTGGTGGAGTTCAGGCAATTTTAACCTACACCCTACACCCTGAAACCTGCGACAAGCTAGCCCCTTGACAGGACCACTGCGCGTCGCCAGAAAAGCTGGAGCATGCTTGGAGGGTCGGGGGACTTAGTAAGTAGGTAGCAAGTAGACGTCTAAGTACCCTAAAAGCGACCCTAGTTGAGGCTATGGTGCTTATAAGTTCCCAAAATAGCCAGTTACTACGTCCCCCGACCCTTCAAGTGAATACATGGGGACGGGAGAAGCTCACGCCAGCTCTTTCTGTCTTTACCTAAGAATCCCTGGAGTCCAGGGTTAGGGTTTGGTGTTCAGGGTTTAGGGATCACAAAGACCCCTAAACCCGAGAAGCAAAAGACGAAGCTGCTGTTGAGGCTCGAGAAGCAGCTGGAGAGTCGTTCAAGGTTACTATACTTGGAGGGTCAGGGGACTTAGTAACTGGTTATTTTAGGGACTTGTAAGTACCATAACCCCAATTAGGGTCCCTTGGAGGGTACTTATAAGTCTACTTACTACCTACATACTAAGTCCCCCGACCCTCCAAGTAGTGTTTTTCAGAGAGCTGCATGCGCTCACTAAACACCTGCGCTGAGGCTAATGAAAGCATAGCGCGACTGCGACTCTTGCAGAAGAAACATTACAGCCCTGACTTATAGAACAATGCATAGACTTTGAAGCACTCCCTGAACCAACCTGTGAAACCTCAAGAGAGAGAAACCTAATTCAAGTTTTGCTTTGATCCTCAATGTATTTCCTTCTTTAGGTTGGCATCCCTGAGCAGCAGGGAAAGAAGGGGCCAACTAAAGAAACAACAGTTGAGTTGTTCGGCAACCATCCCAATTCTGCCAGAAATTGCTGCAGTCGCACAGTATATTGTGGAATCGGTAGGTAGGCGAACCGCAAGCCTCATCCTCCTCCTTCTCCGCCTCCTCCTGCTATTCCTCTTCTTCCTCTGCTACTCTTACTGCTACTGCTACTTCTACTGCTACGGCTATTGCTTCGTCTACTGCCACTGCTGCTACGACGACGACTACCACTACCACTGCCACTGTCACTGCCACTGCCACTGCCACTGCCACTGCCACGGACACGGCCACTGCCACGGCCACGGCCACTCCCACTGCTACTGTTACTACTCCTACTACTCCTACTACTCCTACTCCTACTACTACTACTACTACTACTCCTGCTGCTGCTGCTGCTGCTACTACTACTACTACCCTGCTACTACTACTACTACTACTACTACTACTACTACTACTACTACTACTACTACTACTACTACTACTACTACTACCTACTACCTACTACCTACTACCTACTACCCACTACCCACTACCCACTACCTACTACCTACTACCTACTACCTACTACCTACCTACTACCTACTACCTACTACCTACTACCTACTACCTACTACCTACTACCTACTACCTACTACCTACTACCTACCTACCTACCTACGACCTACGACCTACGACCTACTGCCCACTGCCTACTGCCCACTACCTACAACCTACTACCTACTACCTACTACCTACTACCTACTACCTACCTACTACCTACTACCTACTACCTACTACCTACTACCTACTACCTACTACCTACTACCTACTACTACCTACTACCTACTACCTACTACCTACTACCTACTACCTACTACCTACTACCTACTACTACTACTACTACTACTACTACTACTACTACTACTACTACTACTACTACTACTACTACTACTACTACTACTACTACTACTACTACTACTACGGCGACTACCACTACGACTACTCCGACCAGACTACGACTACGACAACGACAAATGCTACAACGACGACTTCTGCTACTGCTACTGATACTGCTGCTGCTACTACTGGTGCCGCTACTTCTGCTCCCGCCACTGTCACGCCTGTTACCAGCATCTCCCGGTGCTACATGCTTGTCGGTGCATGTTTACTCTTAGTGCGAATGTCACTGTCTAGACCTGGTGGTCAACGTAATGCTTGGTGGTTCCATATGCATCTCCGGCACATCTCTGTGAGTTCTAGCCTCTCTAGCCCCATTCAACCCACAAGACCCTCAGCACGCAAACTCAAATCTGCAGTGTGCCCATACATCGTTTGATTTTTGTGGGACACCCCGCCGCCTTCCGGAAATCGCGAATCATCCTCGCTCGCCTGATGTGGGGTTTATGGTTTCGGGTGAGGATCGAACGATCTTCGGCTAAGCCCTTCACCCCAATAATCCCCGGCTGAACCCCTAAACCCAAATGAAGGTGAAGGAAGGGTGAAGCTGAGGATTTGCATGAAGTTCATAAGGCAGGCCCCTAATCAGAAGACCCCGCTCCATTAGCCTCGGATCAAAGTACGGATGCTCATTTTAAGCCCCTTAAGGAAAGAATCTATTCGTCCGAGGTCGGCATTGGAACTCTTTCATAAATATACTGGCATGAGGCATGGGACCCTGACGGCTCCATGAAAAGGATCCCTAAAGCGCGTGAAAGGATGTCCGGTCTGTGAACGGCACGCCTCAAAAAGAGTGCTAAAAAGTAATAGCAACGATAATGAAAGACATCATGGGGGGGGGGCCTTGATAACCATAACTTCTTTGAAATTACAACTTATTACGACTTTTTTTTTTGTTTGAGGGGGGGGGGGGGGGGGTGTAGGGACTATACGGACGAAGAGTGATACGGCGATTCGGCGATTGGGCTCAATGGACTGAAGATCTGGGTCTCAGAAGTGGTTTAGGGTTTAGGCTCTTGGGTTTAGGGTATAGGTTTTTGGGGTCTAGGGCTTAGGGTTTTGGGGCTGGTGTGCCCGACGGATCGTGGGACTTGGTAACTACCTGGACCTAGATGGTCATACTCTACCCCTTTAGTAAGGTACCTAGTTCTGTGGTTAGGATCTGTCTGTTATATAGAAAAGCAGGTACCCAACAAGAGGGGTACGTAGAGAATGACCCTAAAAGTAGGGTTGTAAATCAATCACTCCAGTTATAAATACATATAGCCAAATAAAGACCCTAATTACTAAGTCCCATGACCCCACCCCCCCAAGCAGTGGAGCTTGCGCCATTGAAACTGAACCTATGTGGGGGCCCGCAAGAATTGAACATGGTAGGCCGCTATAATACCCGGGCCCAAGACTCCCAAATTTCTGGAAGCGGAAACAGCCAGTGGCCAGTGCACTTAGCTCGACTCCCATGAACTCTTGACTGGAGACGACAGACTGGACACAAATTTCACAACCCGTCGAGGAGAAGCAAGAGGAATACGGTTGATGCTATAAACCTTGCATTACCCTAAGGACCCTATACTACGGGATCCATGGTATCCCTCAGCCGTAACATTGCGGTAATGGTAGAAAACGAGGACCGAGGAAGGTTGGACAAATCCAACAAGGGGCTGCAATAAGGGTTTAGTTCAGGGGCCTTTATAATTACCTGAACTGTCTCGGGGATTCCTTGTTATAAATATAGTATAGTGGGCCCCAAAACTCTATTCTAGCTATCAATACCTCTATATTACGAAGCTTGGACTGCAAGGCCAGAAAGGGCGAAACGAGACACATCAACCCGAAAACCAAACGGGGCTTATGCTTGAATTTCCAAGGCCGGGTTTTGGGGCCGGACTGGATAAACTCACGCAGAATCCCCACAAATGCATGAAGTAAGCCAAAGCCCAAGGCCCCTCCACCCTAAACTGTGCCCCTGGCGCAGCCACCAAACTCTACAGTTCATGGTTCGGGGTTCAGGCTCTCCCGTAGTCCTGAATCCCGGCAAAAAACTGTCACTGTTAAGTAGGGCTGTTAGTCTTAACATGACTACTCATGCTATGAATATGTAAGTGTGTGTATATATATATATACAGACCACACTATTACTGGTGTTACTCATACTGGTGCTACTATTACACTTTGCTACCTACTTCTCAACCTTACTGCCATTATACCTGTTTCTGATTTTATTGTTTTAATTAATAACTCTACATACTACTAGCATTGAACCCCTGACCTGGAGAAGGCCAAAGCCCTAAACCCTAAACCCAGAAGTCCTAAAGTCCTAAAGCCATGAATCAGCTGTCAGCATCTAGATCGTTCTGAGAATCCGGGCCTTGAAGCAAAGATTCTTCAGAAGATCCTGCGGTTCAGGGTTTAGGGTTTTGTTTCGGATTTAGGGTCTAGGCGTTTGGGGATTGGGGTTTAGGCGGTGAGGTTTTGGATTTAGGGTTTAGGGTTGGGGTTTAGAGTTTGGGGCTTGGGGCTAGCAGCAGCAGGAAAAAGGGCTCTACACCTGAACCTCAGATACAAAGCTGTGAACTGCAACACCCATCGGTCAAAGAGCTCACCTGTCCTCGTCCCAATTGCCTACGGCACCGCCATGAATCTTCATGCACAGGGTCAGGACCTCACGGAAGCCGGGAGGAAGGAGTGGTTTCCGAAACCTGAACAAGAGCACCTTGGAGCAACAATCAGTGCAAACGAAGTCTAGCCCAGCCGTCGTTCTTCTTGTTGCTACTGTTCCTACTGTGATCCGTCTTCGTCGTCGTTCTGGTCGCTATGGTACAACATCTTTGTTTGCTGCTGCAGTTGTTGCCGCTGTTGCATTTGATGGAATTTCTGTTGCTGCTGCAGTCGCAGTTGGCGTTGCACGTGGTGCCGGTTGCTTCATGCTGCCGGCGGTGTCTGGGTGCAGGGTGTGGGGTGCCTAGTGCTGCTGGTGCTGGTGGTCGTGGTGGTGGTGCTGGCGGAGGTGGTGGCGTTATTGTCTTGGACATTGGCGTTGTAGATCTTGTTGTTGCTCTAGGAATAGCTGCTGTTGCTGCGTGTGGCGTTAATCATACTTTTTGATGATGCTGCTTCTGCTGTTGATGATGTTGTTGTTTCTGCTGTTAATGTTGGGAGTTATTGTCGTTGCCGTTGCCGTTGCAGTGCGGCTGCGGTTGGTTGCTGTTGCTGTAGTTGTCTCTATCTCTGTGTTTGTTTGTCATTGTTGCTGTTCTTGCTGCTGCTGGTTCTGCCGTTTGTGTTGGCGTCGTGGTTGCTGCTGCTCTTGAGTGCGTTGGTATTGGCATTGGCATAGCTGGTGGCGGCGCAGAAAGTCATGACGGTGATGACATGATGGTCAAGACGAGGGCAATGCGGATGATAGCAATGATGATGATAATAATGACGATGGCGATGACCATGATGAGGATCAGGATGATGAGGGTGACGAGGATGAAGAGGATGGTGATGATGGCGAGTGTGATGAAGCTGATGCTGATGATTTAGTGATGGTAGTAGTCGTCGTAGTCTTGTCGCTCTCCTTGTCGTCGTAGTCGTCGTAGTAGTCGTCGTAGTAGTAGTAGTAGCAGTAATAGCAGTAGTAGCAGTAGTAGCAGTAGTAGCAGTAGTAGCAGGAGCAGCAGTGGCACCAGTGACATGGCGGTTGTGGTGGTGATGGTGGTGGTGGTGGTGGTCATGGCAGCAGTGGCAACTGTCGTCACAGTGGTCGTCGTCTTTGTGACTGTTGGTGATGCTGCTGTTGTGGCAGCGGAGATTGATGTTTTTGTTGGTGTCGCTGCTGATATTGGTGTTGCTGCGGTTGTCATTGGTGTCGTGGTTGGGGTTGTGGCTGTGGTGGTTGTTGTTGTTGTCGGAGGTAGTGGTGCTGGTGGTCATGGGCTGGTGCGGACGATGGTTGTGAGGGGGTTGGTGCCGGTGTTGCCACTCTTCGTATCGTTGCTAACTTACTAATGCTGTTTATCATGACAGCAGTAGCACAAGTGCAAAGCAGCAGCAACCACCAGAAACGTTAGAAAAAACCGCAAATGACAAGCCTTGAGCCGCTGTATCCGCAAATCTGGTCCGAAACTATACTATAGGGGCCTGAATAATTACCAATACTTTTTTTGGGGGGTATACTATTACAAGTATAGTACAGTGGGCCCCAAAACCCTATTCAAACTATTAAGGCCCGTATATTATCTGCAAACTGGTACAAAACTGTATTCAATGGTGCTGTTCTTGCCTTGACTATGTCAAGGGCAAGCTTCGACTTCTACGCTGTACTATATCGTCAAGCCGTCGGAAGCCTCGTCAAAATGTTAAACACAAAACTATCAACACTCCCTTTGATTGAAAGGAACTTTAAAATCCTCCGCTCATGAGCTTCCGGCCGTGACCCACTGAGCTTGCCCGAAGGAGCAGAGGGCACGCAGAAGTGCCAGTGGGCACCAGGCCAAACTAAGCCTCAGCACTCATCATTCTTGGGGTTTCAGATCGGGTTTAGGGCCGTAGGGCTTCTCTTGTGGCTTCAGACAAGGGCCTTAAACATTAAGCTGGGGTTTGTGGGCTAATACCCCTATTTTGATACTGTAAGTGTGTAGGGTTGCGGCTTTCGGATTTACTTCGGGCTTAGGGTTGAGGCGGTGGTTATGATTTTGCTGGGCCGCGTGTTCGGATCAGTACACAGCTCGACGAGTGACGGGACAACCAGTTCATAATGTCTAACGCAAAGGTTGCGATTCGTGTTTTAAGGGCTAAACTGCTAAACTTACAACTTAGGCTTGCACAAAGCGTAATATTTTGCGTTTGATTAACATTCCTGTTATCGTCCGTGGCTTCATTATTTCTGCATTCCTTTGTTCATTCCTGGTTCCACAATCATTATGCTTATCATGCGCGGGTTCGTTGTTTTACCGTCTTCACTCCTGAACCAACCATCACACATGTTAGTCGTATTGGGAGCGGTTTGGGCCCTGGTCCCCCAAACGATGACAATATTGTAATACAATGATGAACACATGATAACTCAATGAGAGTGGAAGCGATATTGCAAATTATGATAACATGATAATTTCCTGAAGCTCTAAGCTCTCCTGATTTTTCCAAAAGGCAATTCAAAGTTTTCCGCGTGTCCTTTCTCCGGTGATTTTTCCGCCAAAAGATGAAACATCAAAACAAAACACATGGGCATGAACAACACATCCTGAGGCTCCGGATTCCCGTGCGCCCTTTTCCCCCGCCCTTTTTCGCCAAACGATAAAAACAAACTCATAGCACAAGTCTGAACATGATAATATAAAACGAGAATGAATACGACACTGAATACGATTCTGAAAATGATGATTACATCGTAAATGATGATTAGGACCATGACCTAAATTATGAAAAATTCAACAGAACACCCTTTTGTTGCGACCACTGTCTTTCCACGAAAGAAATCCAAAAGCCTTGTAGACATTAAGCACTAAGCCCAAAGACTGTACTATAGGGGCCTTAATAATTAGAATAGGGGTTTGGGGCCCAGATATAGAAGATACTATGAGCACAATAAGGAAACCCGCAAAATAGTATCAGCAATTTAAAAAGGCCCCTATACTATACTACCTTATGGATCCCTTATAGCAGCCCGTATAGACCCCTTTACAAGGAACCCTATAGGTTATTATTAAGACCCCTATAATTCGCTGGTCCTTTTGCCCATCGTGCTCCGAAACCATTGGAGGCCTAGAAAGCGGAGAGTTGAACCGGCTTCGGTGCTTTGTCAAAAGCACCGAGGAGCACATGTTTCCCTAGAGCTCTAGGGTTTCAGGCTTAGGGCTTGGATGGCTTGGTTGGGGTTTTCGGTTTAGGGTTAAGGGTTTAGGTTATTAAGAACGTTACAGACAGAAGGCGATCTCCACTTTAGCAATGTGTTGGTCTCAAAGACCTGCGAGGTGAAAAAGGCATGGCTCCAGCTGCCCGGGTGAGGCAAAGCGTGCAAAACGCTCTCCTTATGTACAGCCCGCTGCTTTGAGCCTCAAGACTACAGAAGGCCAGCCGGCATATGGACTTCGGACTGCTTTCGTGTCCTAGACTTAGAAAGGCTGAGTTGAAATACTCATTGCTAGTACTAGCTATTCAGACCCCTGGAATGTTCAAACACCCTCTTTCATGTTGCACACAATGCTTCCCAAAATCTCCATCCGGCCGCCTATAAAAGAAACCGAGCAGAACTCCGCAAACTGAACCCTCAACCATAAACCCTAAACCGTAAATTGTCGAACCCCGAATTTTGAATTCGGCAGTCTCACGCCCCGGCGTGTGCGAAGAGCTGGTCCTGACAAGAACCAACCGCTCCACACTGCAAACACAACATGCCCTAAGGTTTCAGGGTTTAAGGCACTATACTTGTGCAATGCTGTTCAGGGCCTACGGCGCAAATTGTTGGGATTGGGGTTTAAGGCAAACCCTAAACCATACAGGCCATAACTTCTAAGACCTATAGAACCTTTAAAATCCAAATCCTGAAGCCCGAAAATCCTGCATAAATTTATCCTAAAACCTGTAAACCCTATGGCCCCATAGTAGTTCCTTTGTGGGCTTCATTTTCAGAAACCTATAAGGTAATCCCGAAAAGGAACTACTATGGGGCCTAGGGTAAACCCTAAACCCATGGCGCGCTTCGAATAACAAGGTTGTTCCCATTCCCCAAGGATACACTTTCCAAGTCCCAACCTTCATAACTACTATCCTAAAACCGAGTACCTGATTAACGTGTATTGGGCTATCGAGCTTTCCGCTCCACTGCAATGATGCCAGCTCAGCCTGGGCTTGCAATGCTGCCTCCGCTTGCGTCCAGTTTGACCAAGGAGCATTGCAGTGGGCAAGAGCGTTTGGGCAGCCTCTATGATATTCGAGCCGTTCGGCACATGGAGCACTCGTTCAAACACTGCCCCTTTTCGTTGAGTCGCTTCCTCCACACACACACAAATAAGACGGATATCCTTGCTGCAGTTTCTACTAGGACTGAATGATCCCATGTACTGCGGTTCTGCTCAAGACAGTGGTTCGACCTATATAAGTCTCACGCTGTACGACCGTTCAATACCCCTGGACCACAAAGTTGCTAAACTGCCAGACCCCTCAAACCCTAAACCACAACAGAAATTCCAAATCCCCAAACCTCTCAACCACAAAATTCCTAAATCCACCAGAAAATTCCTAAATCCCCTAGAAAATTACCAAAATCCCCTAGAAAACTCCTAAAATCCCCTAGAAAATTCGATGCTTCCGGGCCTTCCCGCGCTGCAGAAGCCGGATAGTCTCGGCCTCCAACTCGGCGTGCACTTTGAGGACCTGCTAGGGTTTAGGGTTTAGGGGTTTTAGGGTTTAGGTTTTACGGTTTAGGGGTGTAGGGTTTTATGGGTTAGGGATCTAGGGATTTAGGTTTGAGAATTTAGGATGGGCCCCGATCTTCGACCCGAAGACTACGAGTTATAAGGGTTGAGGAGGTATGAGTTGCGAGGGTTTAGGAGTTATAAGGATTCAGGTGTGATGAATTATAATAGCTTCGGAGTTTTAAGAGTTCATACATGCATAAACCCTGGCAGATCCATGTTACGACTTCGTGCAAGTTTTCAGAAACCTACGAAGCCTGCAGCGAACTCTATGAAACCGTCAAAACCCACTACGAGAGCTGCACCACCCCTCTACGAGCCTATGGAAGCCCGAACCCTACGCCCGAAACCCTAAACCCCTGAAGACCAACAGGCTTTCAGACTCCTGTCCGCCTCGTCCAGCTCTGGCGTGAGCTCAGCGGCAAGAGCCATGGCCCCTTCCCGCCAGGTCTGCCTGAGGCTGAGCCGAAGAGTCTATGGCAGGCTCCTGTCCTTTGTTTCATGCCAGTGATATGGGACTGAATTTTTGGTTGGTGTATGGTGTACGTTTGCTTGGCTGATATGGATTAAGCATGGGGTTTATGGAGGTCCTGTTCAAGCCATGGTTTTGCTCCTTCTTCTCCAGAATATACGATGCTACGACTGAAAAAAGGCAGAGACCAAGGCGGCAATCCGGTCAAGGTTGGAAGCTTCTAGGGTTTGTCATGTTGTGGGCCTTGTTTGGGCTCAAAGTTTAGGCCAAAGGTTAGGTCGAAGGATCCCACTAGAGGGATCTACAGGGATCTTGTAAAGAATCCAGAGGCATCAAAGGGGAGTTACAAGGAATCTATACGGAAATCACATTGGATTTCTAATCAGTTTATAGGGATCTAGAGGGCCTTATAAGGGGTCTGTAGGGATCCATAACACTTTCATCAACGAGGGATTTCATACATGCTTAGCTGCTGCTTTCAGTATGATCGTCTATCGAGGCACTGGTCTCCGAACTTGCAAACACAACGACTCGAAGCCTTATGTGACAAACTTCGGGGGGTTTCGGACCTGAACCCAGAATCCTCGAGATGGCGCTGAAAGCCCTAAGCCCTAAACCTAAGCCCTTTCACTTGCACCTACTAAACCCCGATGCCTATGACCTGAACCCTAAACCCCTAACCCCAAACTCTTAAACCCCTAAACCCCAAACCCCTGAACCCGATACCCCGAAACCCTAAACCCTATAACCCTAAACCCACCCGTTGCGGCCAAGGAGCTGCTGGTCTTCCTCCTCGTGGCGGATCTGAATCTCCAGCTCCTGCTAAATTGCTCCGAAGGGCTTCGGAAACTCCCAGAGAGCCCCATAGCCCCTTATTAAGGAATATACCTTACAGTAAACCATAATATCTAATTGAGAGTATGGGGCCGAGGGCTGCGGAAGCATGGTGCGAGGGTTTAGGGTTTGAGGCTGAGGAAGCTGTTAGTTAGGGTATAGGGTTAGGGTCCATTGTAGACTACGGTTCAGGATACTACATAATAACTTGTAACCATATGCATTAGACAGATGCATACACATACATACATAGTGCATATTCATGTATACATGAATGTTGATTATGAGTATCGTTTGTATTCTCTTATCTGTACATATCAAACACACGGGTACTTTGCACACGTCTATAAGCAAGTACGTAAATACATTCAAGGAACTGTGTGTGTATATATATATATATATGTATATATGCGCATCTCTCACTGTCAATACCGTATATAACCACTACATCATAGCGAAGAGCGTCATAGGCGAGGCATTGAACAAGACGACAACTATCACAGGACGTGTGCCTCGAATGGGCGCTAGCACTGGAGAATGATTCATATAGAGGCCTACAGAAGCCCATAGGGTTCATGAACAGAACCTACGGCAACACATACACCGAAGCGTAATTCCAATTATGCCGGCACCTATATTATTGACTGGACTCCGTCTGCTCATTTCTATAAGCCCCTTCGGACTACAAAGGACTATGATATGCTTTAACACACTAGTGCCCCGAAATTCATTTCATACGTCAACAAAGAAAAATTACGTCCTAAGGAGAACCGTCCTAGAACCCGATACAAACCCCTACAAAGAAACGCGGAATTCTAGATTCTAGATTCGAGATGACTACCTCTCGCTGCCCGTCAACTCCTGAGTGCGCTCAGCGTAGCCGCGCAGCTGCTGTTGTAACCTGGGAGGCGTCTTGGGGCTTTGGGGTTTACTCGTCCTTGTCCTAGCTAGTGCAATATCACACACACCAACATTCAAAATACTCGTCGTCGTCATCATACAAATGATGAGGGTAGTGATTTATCTACTCATCATGTTCAAAATACCTTAATGACCCTCAGCCTCTTCACTCCAGTAGACCTTCGGGGACCTGAACCCTAAACTCTAAACCCAAAAACCTACACCCTAAACTCCCAACCCCTGACGTCTAAACCGGGACCCAGAGTGTCCGGAGCTCACGGTTTTTGGGCTTGGCCCTTCCAAGGGCCAAGCTCCGGGGGACAAGGCCTAAAACCTGGCGTTGAGGTTTCCTGTAGCGTGTAAAACCCTACCTTTTTAGGGTTCCTTGTTTCTTTAGATACTTCTTCAAAAAAGAGAAGTTGTGTCTTTAGATAATTCCCAAAACAAGGTAAGTTGTTTCTTTAGATATTCTTCAAAAAGCTAAGTTTTTGGGAGGGGTGAAGGTTTAGGATTCAGGCTTCGGGGACCTGCAGTCCAGAGTTGGTAGCATTGGGGTTTACTTGGAGGTTCATGGGTCTATAGTTATAAGGGTTCCTTCAAGGGTGCCTTTACAGGGATCCATCGGGATTCTGTAAGGGTTTAGGGGTTAGGGCCTACTTGGAGGTTCACGGGTCTATAGTTATAAGTGGGGTTATAAGTAGGGTAACCGGGTAACTATGGTAAAAACCGATACTGGGGGACTTATACCCCCACTTATAACTACCTATGAACCTCCAAGTAGGGTTAGGGTTTGGGAGGCTCCACCGATATAGGTTCCAGTCTCCAGGTTTGCCGCCTCTGCTACGAAACTGAAACAGTTCGAGCCTGGCCCGACCTCATTTAAAGGGACCTAACCCCTAAAACACAGTGAAGCTCTGCACCTGAGCCAAAGATTGAACAGGGAAGCGTCGTCAAGAAGGGAATGTAGGCACGTTGGTCTTATCTTGGCGGCTCACTCTACGACAGCCGGGAAGTGTGTTTAACATCACAATTGGGTGGATGGTTATGTTTCCTTCATCACATTTACATGGTGACCACGGCGATGATGAGTACTAAGGTCCTTCATCCACTAAAATACCCGCAGGATGTCGGATCATGTTAGAAAACGCCACACATACGCCTGCGGTGCGCATGACCATTCGCTCATTGCAGGTCCCATGTCAGACTCTCTTCATATAACCCTTTCAAAGTGCCGGAGAGAATCATGCAGTTATGGTACCATGTCTATGCACGCAACCCTAATTGCTATACAGGGTGCCGCAGCAAGAGCCCTCCTAATATCCCTCCTTAAGCACTCTCTCACTGGCCCAAAACCCAAGGAAACAAAAGCTGAAACTTTCAGAATCGACTACCTTTTAAGAACCCCGAAAGTTGAAAAGTTGAGTTTACAGCCAGTAAGATCTTTGCCGAAAGACTCCATCTCCGCACGTCTCAGCTCCACCGTCCGGCGTTCCTTCACATCCGTGGCCGTCTGCTCGACATCCTCAGGATTTCGGGTTTTCGGATAATAGATTTGAAGATGAAGTGTGCATCTCCGCTTCGCTTGGAGGTTCACGGGCAGTTCTTTATAAGTGGGCTTATAAGTCCTCTCATGGGGTTAAAATTTATAGTTCCCTTACTTACAACTCCACTTCTCACTACCCAAACCCTAAAGCTGCAAAACCCCAAACCCTAAACTATCATTACAACCCCACTTATAACCCCTAAACCCAAAACCCGAAACTATCCTCAACTATAATTACAACCCCCCCCCACTTGCTACTAACTACCCATGAACCTCCAAGCGGAACTCTAAGCCCTCGGCCCACAAGCGATCCCGGTGTTTCTCTGTCGCCTTCTCGCAGCTGCCGCGCACCTTCCCAGGCGATACCCTAAGGGTCCACGGGCTTAAGGTTTAGGGTTCAGGGCCTAGGGGTTAGGGATGGGCTTAAGGTTGAAGGTTTCAATTATAGGGCTTGAAGTTTTGAGTTTAGGGGGAAAGGGCCTAGGGTAATTTTAGGGGTTAACGGTTAGGGTTTAGGCCTTTAGAGTCTAGTATAGACTTTGGCCCCAAAGTAGGTTTGTAGGGAGTACTTTAAATTACAAAGTACAAGCAATTTCGGCCTTAGGGATAGTGTCTGCTCGGGTACGGCATGCAAGCATTTTCGGACTTAAGACTTGCTCCAAAACGAACTCCGAGGCAAGATGGGAAACAGACTACAGAAGGAAGGAATGAATTAATCAATCAAGCAATCAATAAATCTAACCCTAAACCCTGAAACCCCGAGCTGATGACCTCCCGGATGGCTTGGATCTCCTTCCGCGCTGTGGCCAGGCTCTTCCAAACCTCAGCTCGCACCCATGGTTCGGGGCTCAGGCTATTGTAGGTAGGGGCCTCCTGGTAATACGAACAATCAGATTAAGCAGAGTATGAGTACGAATAAGAACAATATTGAGGAATAAAGTGCGCAACTATCTAGGCTTCTGTATTGCAGGACAGGCTTCATGTTCTTACGATCACGATAGAGCGTTAAGCTCTATAGGGATTCATGGACAGTTGTCGGTTACATGAGCAGATCTAGAAACGCCCTCTAAACCCCCTGATTCGCGGACCCCTACTTTCAAGAAATTCCACATTTTCTGCCCGACTTTACGAAGAAGCCACCCGCCTTTGGGAAGCAAGAACCACACCGCGGCCCTCACCACCACAATAGGGTTTGGTTGTTCTGCGCATCCCAAAACCCGAATCCCCTCAACCCTCAATCCTATACGGTAATCCCAACCCCTAACTCAAAACAACCTCCAAGCCCCGCAACCGAATCCCTAGAGCGGTTAATGTTGGGGCCTCAATACTCAGAACCGGGTTTTGGGGGTACATTGTACTATAATCTTAATAAGGAGCCCCCAAAATAGAATGACTAATGATTCAAAAACCCGTACAGTAGCCTTAATACGGAGCCCCCCAAATAGCACAGGTATTTTTTTCTGCTTAAACCCCCCAAAAAGTAGCCCCTACAGCGGTGAGGGGATCTTCCACCCCACCTCCTCCAGCTCCGTCTGGGCATCCTCCGACTCCTTCGCCCAGCGCTCGGAATTTTGCGACTGCCGAGTCTCCTCGGCTCTACAAGATGCTACAAATAGTATAGGGTTTTTTCAAGTGTAATGACTCTTTGATAGTATAGGGTTTAAGCTTTAGGGATCAGGGTTTAATAGGGGGGGGATCTTCTACAAGATGCTACGAATAGTATAGAAATTTTTAAGTGTAATGACTCTTTCATAGATAGGGTTTAGGCTTTAGGGATTAGGGTTTGATATGGTGGGGGGGGGTCTTCTACAAGATGCTACAAATAGTATAGGGCTTTTTTAAGTGTAATGACTCTTTCATAGATAGGGATTAGGCTTTAGGGATTTAAGGATTAGGGTTTAATAGGGGGGGGGGTCTTCTACAAGATGCTACAAATAGTATAGGGTTTTTTTAGGTGTAATGACTCTTTCATCGATAGGGCTTAGGCTTTAAGGATTAGGGTTTAATAGGGGAGGATCTTCTACAAGATGCTACGAATAGTATAGGGTTTTTTTAAGTGTAATGGCTCTTTCATAGATAGGGTTTAGGCTTTAAGGATTAGGGTTTGATAGGGGGAGGGGGGCTTCTACAAGATGCTACAAATAGTATAGGGTTTTTTTTTAAGTGTATTGACTCTTTCATAGATAGGGTTTAGGCTTTAGGGATTAGGGTTTAATAGGGGGGGGGGTCTTCTACAAGATGCTACAAATAGTATAGGGTTTTTTAAGTGTAATGACTCTTTCATAGATAGGGTTTAGGCTTTAAGGATTAGGGTTTGATAGGGGGGGGGGTCTTCTACAAGATGCTACAAATAGTATAGGGCTTTTTTAAGTGTAATGACTCTTTCATAGATAGGGATTAGGCTTTAGGGATTTAAGGATTAGGGTTTAATAGGGGGGGGTCTTCTACAAGATGCTACAAATAGTATAGGGTTTTTTTAAGTGTAATGACTCTTTCATAGATAGGGTTTAAGCTTTAGGGGTTAGGGTTTAATAGGGCGGGGGGGGGGTCTTCTACACGATGCTACAAATAGTATATGGTTTTTTAGGTGTAATGACTCTTTCATAGATAGGGTTGAGGCTTTAGGGATTAAGGTTTAATAGGGGGGGGGTCTTCTACAAGATGCTACGAATAGTATACTATGGGGGTCTTCTACAAGATGCTACAAATAGTATAGGGTTTAGGCTTTAGGGATTAGGGTTTAATATGGGGGGGGGTCTTCTCCAAGATTCTACAAATAGTACAAGGCTTAGGCTTTAGGGATTAGGGTTTAATATGGGGGTCTTCTACAAGATGCTACAAATAGTATAGGGTTTAGGCTTTTCGGGATTAGGGCTTCGTATGGGGGGTTTCTAGAAGATTCTGCAAATTGTACAGGGTTTAGGGTTTACTATGGGGGATCTTCCACAAAGGTTCATATTGTACAGTGGCGTTGATTATGAGAATATGGTCTTTGGGGTGTATAATATCGCAGTACATATATTCGCAGCATATCAAACTGACGATTTTTAGGAACACTTTTCAACCGATTGACTTGATGCTGCTAGCCTATCATTGGGCTTAGCTGCTGGGCCCCTAAACCCAAAACCCTAAACCCTGGGAGTGGGGGCTCGGAGTTTGATTCGGGGCGTATAGGGCTTAGAGCTACCGAAACCTATACTTCAGTGAAAGCCTTTTTATTCCTAGGTTACTGGGTATCCTAGTAGTAAGGGCTCCTTTAAAGGGGATTCTAACGGTTCCTTTAAATGGCTCTATAAGCGGGTTATAGGGTTGTAGCCCCTACTTGGAGGGTCGGGGGACTGAACCCCAATTAAGGTCCCTTTTAGGGTACCTTATAAGTCTACCTACTACCTACTTACTAAGTCCCCCGACCCTCCAAGGGTTCAGATTCAAGGCTGGGGATTTTCTGTAAGTGCGTAGGATTTGGTGCTAGGGATCGGCAGCTGTTCTGGACTGTCTCACTGCAGGGGAGCACTCGATTCTAGTTCATGGTTGCGATAGGATTGAAAATGTACATGTTTATTCCTTATTGGTTTTTAAGTACCCATAAAAGATGTAAAATGTGACCCAACTATGACAACGGATTTAGTAAACGCCTACTGCAAAAGTGCCTTGCAAGAAGCCTGTGCTCACCTGAACACAAACTGCAGGATCCAGAACTTCAAGATTGACTTCTTTCCTTGATACCCAGCAGACCTAGCAGCTGCAAAACTCAGAGAAATAAAGCCCGGAACCCCGCCTAGGGAGGCTAGATAACCCGAGACCCTAGATGATAAGCCCTAAGCAGAAGGCAGGGCTTCCATAACTCTAAGATGCAGGCTTTGACGGCTGCGTGAAGCGCGTTTGCATTACGGCGCATAGGCTTGAAGCATTACGGGTTTTAGGACAACTCGTAACACTAATGTTGTCAACACCCAAACTAGCACAAGAACTCCTTCAACACGGATACCACCGATCCTCTGAACAACAAAGAACTCTTGAGAAGCACGAGATATACAATGGTCTCAGACACCGACAGCACATCAAGTCATGTTGTGGGTCTACGAAGATTTAGATTTGGTTTAGTGTATTTCGGATTTAGGATTTGGGGAGTGCAAAACATCCAGCCTTCAACCAGTAAAGGGGTACCACAAAACGACATCCAAACAGCCCTGCAAAACCACCAAAACTGACCTTAAGTAAACGCCTTTCAGGAACCTACAATCAATCCTAAACCCAACAAGCCGTATAAATCCGATCAGCCCTATTACGAACCCCTTTGGCCCTAAATCCTACCAAGTGTCGAGGTGGTGCTGCTGGCCGGCCAACTCCTCCAACTTTCGTTTCCAGGGGCTTCGACAGCGCGAAGCCGCCGCCTTCGAGGAATCTTTAGGGCTTACTTGGAGGTTCATGGGTAGTTATAACTAGGGTTATAAGTCCCCTAATATGGGTTATAACTACAGTTATCCTACTTATAACCCCTCTTATAACTACCCATGAACCTCCAAGTAGGGTGACTGCTTTGTGAGCTTTGGGTTCAGGGCTCGAGGTTCACGTCTGCGTTGACTAAGTGTGGGCTTATGCCTCCTCATTTCCAGGGCTGCTACTGATACTGCTATGACGACGGCCATTATTTATATTATGAATACAAACAGTGTTGAACAAGTAAAAAATCATGTCAACTCGGCGGCGTTGACATGGCCCCCTAAACCCTAAATATCCCTAAACCTCTAACTTAGACCAAATTGCCGACGAGTACGAAACGTTGGCATCCTGACGATGGAGCTGGCGGGGTTTCTAGTGAAATTGGGCATTCTTGCTCTTCATGAAAACTACGATGTGCGGGCTTGGGGTCAAAGGTTTGGGGTTAAGAGCTCCTGCGAAGATTCATCTTTTCAGCTTCATAGTTTCTGAATACTTCTGAAGCTCTTCCAAAAGTTCTGTCAGTCTCCAGCCAGAGGCCAGCAAAGTTGTGTCCTTTTTGAGGTTTAGGCCTATTTGAGGGGGCGTCTTGACTATGTGGGTGAAGACATTGACCTTCGCGCAATGCATGCATCTTGCCTTATACTGGAGTGATACACTGCAGCCACCTCTAGCGGAGGGGTGTCAGGGTTGAAATCCTAAACTCTTTGTTCTCCGTTAGACCCTAAGCCCTCAACCCCTTAGATCCTCTTCGCCAACTCGCACCAGGGATGCCCATTAACCTACGAATAAACAGGGCTCCCTTTTTGGTATTGGGTAACTTTATAGGGAACCTAGGCCTACAAAAAGGGAAGAATGGAACTGTCCTAGTCCCTGGCTAGTAATACGGAATGTGGAGAGACATCCAGAGTGATCCATTTCCCCATCACCTCCAACGACCCCAGAGAGCCCAGTACCCCCTTCAATTCAGGAGTATACCGTAAACCACAACCTATGGTCTCCATTGTAGTTCCTTTTTGGGGGCTACCTTATAGGATCCTTATTATAAACTTGGTTATAAGCCAAACAACGAACAACAATGGAGACTATTTGTGGGACTATCTTATAGGATCCTAATTATATACTTGGTTAAACCAAAAGAGGGAGCAACAACGGAGACTCCAGGTAATAATATTAAGGCCCCTGTAACTCTGGGTACCGGCCTGGAGATCGGCCTCCTTGGCACGAACTTGCTGAGCGCATGCCTCCAGCGACAGCAATGTGGGCGCAGCTAACGCGGGGTGCGTCGCCCCCGGTGGAGTCCGGATGTTCAGGATGTTAGGGTCTATACGAGGGCCTAGGTGTCCCTCATCGTCTGGAACTGCGACAATAGTGGGTCCAGCACCCAAGGTTCGACGTCTGCATTTCTGGGTTCAAGGCCATGCGTCTGAAGGCTTCGCATGGCCAGTGCAGCAGGTAGGTTTTAAGGAGCTAGAAGCCCGTAAGGAGCTACATTCGTACGGCTCGAAGGCAAGCTCGACGGTCTCGGGTGCCATTTTGTGCGGGCAGCCACCACCCCGAACCAATATCCTACACTCGTTTCTCTCGGCCCTCCACTGAGGTTGCAAGAACAGTCCACGGCTTGTCTCTCCCTTGCGAACCTCCTCCACACGGGCGATTTCGGAAGGAAGCATCTCACTGAGTGCTTCGGTCCTCGGAGTGATGAGTGTGTCTCGGTCTCTCAAAGGATATAGAACTTGTTGTTTCTGGCGTGAGCAATATAATACGAATAGTCGAAGTGCGGGCTTCCTATCCTTCTACGACCACTACTGCTGTTACTTGGTCTTCTGGTTCATATTCTTATCATTGAGACTGTGCCATGGTGATGTTGTTGGTGTTGTTTGTGCGGCTGCTGCTTTTCCTGCTGCTGCCATGGCTGCTAATGCTACTGCTGCCGTTGTTGTTGTTCTTGTTGCTGTCAAGGGCGGTCGCAGTGGTGGTGGCGGCGGTGGCGGTGGCGGTGCTGGTGCTGTGGTGCTGGTGATGCTACTGGTGTCTCTGATGGTGGTGGTGTGGTGGTGGTGGTGGTGGTGGTGCTGGTGGTGGTGGTGGTGGTGGTGGTGGTGGTGATGGTGGTGGTGGTGGTGGTGGTGGTGGTGGTGGTGGTGGTGCTGCTGCTGCTGCTCCTGCTGCTGCTGCTGCTGCTGCTGCTGCTGTTGCTGGCCTAGATTCTATATCAAGCGGAGAAGCGACAGCTTGAACGTAGCAGCAGTCTTTGGATGAGTTATAGAGTCGTCAAGACAAAGTACAACGCCTGGACTACCCAGAAATCTCACTCCCTGTGCCCAGTCTCTCGGCAGAAGCTTCGGCAACAGCTCGTTGCAGGGACTCCTTGGCCTCCTCCACACGTAGGGATGTGGGAGTTTCCGAAAAATCGGGGTACCTAATTTCGGGGTCCTTATAAGAAGGATACTACTTCTCATGGTACTATCGCTTCAAGGCTTTATCCCAATCATTTCTGACGCCTAGAAGGTGCTCAGCGTGATGAGACACCGCTAGCCTAATTCTTGGGGCTGCGAGAACCCTATGATCTAGCAGTTCTGCATGCAAGGCCTGCATGCGTAGGTCTTTGTGTAGACACATAGACTCACATGCATGTACATACATGCGCGCGCATGCATAATATGCACACACTACGTGCAAACAAACAAGCAAACAAACAAACATACATGCATACATATATAATGATATATCCATACACATACACATATACACACATACATACATACGTACATACATGCATTTCACACATTGCAACACATTGCATGACATTACATGACATTACGCACATACATACATACATACATACGTAATTACAGACATGCATGCATGCATGCATACGTACATACATACATACATCACTATTTGTGAAAAATAGACGCCACTGATCAGTCTCCTCAGCTGGAAATCTTGCTGGTGCCGTGGCCAGGATGGGACGGGACCCTGAAGATGGGATTGGGAACCGTGCATCAAAGCCTTCCGTGCCTTTCAAAACGCAGAATGTTGCTCTTCGGAGCATACCGAGCAAGGGAACACGAACCCTTCGTTGTGAAATTTCCCTTCAAAAAGTTGCATTGAGACTTTAGCAACTAATTTAATTGGCAGTCCGTCGGGCTTTGGCTTGCCCCCCCTCCCGGGTCCCCCCCCCTCGTGGCTCATTGCGAATGCTTGCGAACCGCGTAAGACACACGGGAGCTTGCCTCACTAGCAATCTGCAAACCAAGGCTTAAAGCAGAACTTCCCTACACTGTAGACCCTAAAGATGATCGCAGAAGCCGGGCTTTCCGTTGCGGATTCATCCTGAGTCGTCGTCAAGCTGCCAAGTCCCAGAAAAGCCCGTAAGCACTGCAGAAGGAAGCTTTTCGCTGAGCTAGAGATCTGCAAAATGTTCATCCATATGGCTGTTCACCATGCCAGGATCTTCATAACTATAAACCATGATCCAGAGTGGTCACTACAAGTATGTGAAATGTGTTTCGGTACATGAACGCCCCATTCTGATGCTCCAAGTGGCTAAGCAACAGAAGATGATGCGAACGGAGCTGCTTAGAACAGGCCCTATATAACGTCAAGCCTTAAACACTAAACCGTAAACCATAAACCTCAACCCATAAACCCAAAAACCTTGAACCCCAAACCTTAAACCCAAAACCTTCAACCCTGCATCAACCCTGACCTTATAGACCCTACCTGGACCCCAGACGAGTTACCTTTTTAAGGACATATATGTAAGAAACCATAGTAAGGAAGCCTAAAAGGGTAGGTTATTCAGGGTTAAGGTAAGCTTTACAATTTAAACCCTGAACTCTGCAGACTGCAGACCGCACATGCAAATGGGGTTATAAGTCCCCGAATAGAAGTTATAGCTACTGTGTGACCCCACTTGTAGCTACCCATGACCCTACAGCCAAGTCCCTAAACCAATCCTAAATCCTCAACCCACTTAACCCAAAATACCAAAGGGGACTTATAGCTACCATGAACCTGCAAGTGTCTGTCCTCGGCAGCGCGATTGATGGCAGCTGTGGTAGCGGAGCTCTGGGCTTGGAGTGCCTGTGTCTCTTGGTGTCTAGAATTTTAGGGTACTTGTAAGGGCCTTAAAACTACGGCTTAAGGTATACCGATACATATTATCAAATAGAGTGTGGGGTTGGGTTGAGGTTATAAGGTTAGCTTGGTGTAGTATGGTATAATGAGCAAACGCAGACTGCGCTATACTATGGCGAGTAAGGCTGAGATAAGATGAGATTATTGACATTACAATCTAGAGTATGATATATCATGGTATGGCAAGACATGATAGAGCTGGAATAGCTGCTGTAAACTGACTGCTGCCACGCCCTTAGCAACAACTGGACTCTTTTCCATGACGGTTCTCCCTATGAGCCATCATGGCGATCCCTGGTATCCTGAGGAACTAAAGGTTACCCCCCGTGGTATATTAGGTTGGGATTATATAGGGATTAAAATCCCCCTGCGGCGTACTACGGAACGCTGTCAGCCCGCTTGTCGTTGTTCTTGGCATTGTTGACACCAGTAACAAGGGTGTCACATGATGGGGTCTGACTATCGAATGCTTGGGCAAGACGTCCAAATAAAGCTGACAAGGGCGTATTTATTACCTGAAATTGCTAATGGCACAGGCCCTGGAAGAACAAAACAAAAACTGCAATCCGAAATGATCTCAAGCGCAAAACTCTACACCCAATGCCCATACATCCTGAAAGGAAAAACATCCTGAACCCCTAAACCACCCTAAACCCAAACCCCACGACCTTAAACCCCTTATTTTTCCCCTAAGCAAACCCTAATCACTAAGTTCTGAAACCCTAGCATGCGAAATATTGGAGATTCCGAAAATAAGGGCACCTTATTTTGGGGTCCTTATAGTAACTATTATAGTAAGGATCCTACTATTTATGGTACTATATTAGGGTCCTCTCTTTTCGGAAACTCCCATATGGCTCTGCCCGAGGCCTTTCGGAGCTGTGCAGCCGACTCGGTGGCGTTCCTCTGCTCCTCCGTCGGTGTACTGTGCTTCCCTACTTGGAGGGTCGGTTATTTTAGGGACTTATAAGTACCATAACGCCAATTAGGGTCCCTTTTAGGGAACCTATAAGTCTACTTACTACCTACTTACTAAGTCCCCCGACCCTCCAAGTAAGGGTCCAATGTACCCATATAGCATATACTTTGGGCCCAATGTACCTATATAGGGAGTACTTTAAGGCCAATGTATATACTATGAGTACATGGACCCTTAGGGCTTGTTGTACTCTTTGAAGAGGGTTTAGGGTTTCCTTCTTCCGTTCAATGCTTTTTGTGTGCTCTTGGTGAGTATCGATGTAGGGTTGCTAGGATGTCCAGTAACCTCCCTTTTTGGTATTGGGTACTTTTATAAGGAACCTAGGACTACAAAAAGGGAATAAGGGTACTACGGGGCATCCTAGCCCCCAATTTTCGGAAACCCTGAACCCTTTATAGAACCCTTATAGATCCCTTTAACGAGCCCTTCTAGATCCCTTTAAAGGTACCCCTACTACTGGGCATCCTAGGCTTTAGGGACTTCAAGGCTTTAGGGACTTGAGGGCTTCGCGCTCAGGTCGAGGATTTAGGGTGTTGGGACCTTTGGCGCATTTCGGGCATTAGGGTCTTCGGGTTTAGAGGTTTAGGGTCTTCGGGTTTAGAGGTTTAGGGTTTTCGGGTTTAGGGTTTTCGGGTTTAGGGTTTTCGGGTTTAGAGGTTTAGGGTTTGAGGGTCCAGGGTTGAGGGTTGTCGTGTTTAGAGGTTGTGGGTGTAGTGGCTTGGGGTTGAGGTTGTCGGGTTAAGAGTTTAGGCAGATCAGGATGTGGGCCTTCGTTCGAGGACCTGGAAGTCACATGATTGTTCCGAAAACCTAAGGCCAACAAACATCATACTCTAAGACCCTAAGCTTTAAGCCCTATCAGTGTTGCTGCATTCCGTTCCAAACTCCGTCTGTTCTGCCAAGTGTCCGCCCCGGCATCCTCGGTCTGCCGGCAAAGCTCACAAAGAGCGGACTCCGCCTGCAAAACCTCCGAGGAATAGGAATTTAAGGACCCGGGTTAGGGTTGCTTGGAGGTTCATGGCTAGTTATAAGTGGGGTTAAAAGTAGGGTAACTATACTTACAACCCATACTAAGGGACTTATACTCCTACTTACAACTACCCATGAGCCTCCAAGTAGGGTTACCTCCCAGGCACGTGTGTATTGCTTAAGGGTCGGGGCGCAGAACCTAGGGCCTAGTTTAAGGCTTATGCTCTTGGTTTTCTCGGGGCCGGGGGAGCACTTCGGAGTCAGGGTTCAGGGCTGGAGGCGAGTGGGGAGTTCCGGAGGAGATGTTGCCGAAAACGGCTCTCATGTTCGGGCGCGCGAGTTTGCCGAGCCTTCTGTCGCCAAGGGAGCTTCAGGGCTCCGTAAAATCGTACGAACCTGAAATACAAAACAGATTTCCAGAACAGCACCTCTTTTTTCTATGAAATCCTACATGATGAGCACCTCACATGCGTCCAGCTCTTGGGTCATTATGCATGTGGGAGTTTCCGAACATCAGGGGTACCTTATTTGGGGGTCGCTGTGAGGACAGGCACATTCTGCATCCATCACGGGAGATCACCAAACTTTCCCGTTTTTCTTCTGACTCATTGGGATGTCTACTAGCCCTGAATCCTAAAGCCTAAACTCTAATCGTTACTACCCTAAAAGACCACTATCCTAAACACCAGGTCCGTTGGACCCTTTGGACCCTTACCCGACGGGTCCGTGAAGCCAACTAGTATGTACTTTGGCTCCAAACTACCGAACTAGGGACTACTTTAGCACCAAGGTATACACTGTTTGGGTCCATGGACCCTTACTTGGAGGTTCTTGGGTAGTAAGTAGGGCTACTATAATTATAATTACAACGCCTATTCAGGGACTTATAACCCCACTTGCCAGGAACCTCCAAGTAAGGAAGACAGGCCTACTTCTGAAGACCCCCCGCCTGCTCGCTGGAGTCGGTCTCTGCATCGCACATGTCGCGGCCCAGAGTGTAGAGTCTAGCAGACAGATCCTGGGTTCTTGTTAAGGAGCTTGGCGTAAGTCAACATCATTGGGATCTATGGTAACAAAATGGTGCCCTGATTATGGCAACTTATAATGCATCGTTTAAAAATCTGGCAACTTAAAATACATCCCTAAACCCTAAACCCTAAACCCTAAACCCTAAATGTAAAGAGAGCCCAGGATCTGCCACCTGTGCAGCCGCAGTCGCCGAGCGCCCTTGCAGCGCCGAGAGCTCCGGTCGGCTGGGTTTCGGCTTTGTCTGCGCTGCGCGGAAACCTGCCGCTGCCGCCTGCACAGCTTCCCGTTCCTGGGCTCTTGCTAAGGGATTTAATGAAAGTTACCATAGTTTCAGGGTTCCTTTAAGGCTTTAAGGGATCTGTGAGGTCCCTTTAAGGGTTTTACAAGGGTTTGGGGGTGACGGAATTTAATTTAAGCTACCATAATAAAGAAACCATACTATGTGCCATAGATCCCTATTATGCTTTATCAAATGAAATTCATGAACAAGAACCCAGGATCCTTCACGTCCCTGCCAGCTTGCAGGGAGGCCCGTATCTCTGCCACAAAGGCATCCAGGATCTGAGAAGGCACCTCTTCCCTAGCAACCGCTTGCAGGTGAGCTTTGTCCAACAAACCCTGGACAGAGTCAGGAAGGTCTGGAGGCAAAGAGGCACAAAGGATGTCCACAACCTCACCAGCTCTGCCGGCTTCTGCTTCGAAGCTCGGCTCCAATGCGCGAAGGGAAGTCATCGCAGACCTCAAAGCGCCTTCGGGCTGTTTCAAACTGGGATCCCCATGAAACATCGAACTCCGAAACCCGAAACAAAAAACAGATGTATATAAACTGGTTAGACCAAAGAAGGAACTGCAACGGAGACTACAGTTCTTGTACGCAAAAGGCCCGGCCTCGAGAAGACTGGAGCTCTGCCTTGAGCTCACGACCCAGTGCATGGACTTGCGACACCTCCGGGCTGCGAGCTGCACCTCAGCGCTAGAATCAGAGAGTTTTGAGCTTAGGGTTTGCTCGTGTGGTTACGAACATACGGCTAGAGGCTGCTAATTTCACTAGTTTTAAGACCGAACTAGGGCCTTGTGGTCAGCCTTAAACCCCGAAAGTACGATATGCGGTTGACATCCAACATAGGCACAGAGATGATGAAGGATGTATAGAGCTAAACAACTAAGAAACAGAGAAGCATTGATGCAGCTGTATACATGCAGAAAATTCATAGATCATCCGAAAGTCTGCCTCTGACCTGGTCCTAAATCCCAAAACCTCCCCCTGCCGCCAGTAGTTGACAAACTCCACAGATCCCAAAAGCCACGACTCCCAACCCAAAATCGAAACCTACTTGGAGGGTCGGCGGACTTAGTAAGTAGGTAGTAAGTAGACTTATAAGTACCCTAAAAGGGACCCTGATTGGGGTTATGGTACTTATAAGTCCCCAAAAGAACCAGTTACTAACTCCCCCGACCCTCCAAGTACCGACCACACCCTGACATGCAAACTCCCTCTACCCAAGCATTGCTTTAGCTCTGCACGAGGCCTTCTTTGACCCCAATCACTACTTGGAGGATCATGGGACTTAGTAAATAAGGTTATAAGTACCTTAATTGGGGTTATAAGTATAGTTACCCTAATTATAACCCTAGTTACTAAGTCCCATGATCCTTTAAGTAGACCCTACTTAAAAGCCCCAAGCCCGCCAACTTAATCTTTAGCCCCTAAACCCCTAAAAAGCCCCGAGCCCTAAACCTGAAATCCATGAATCTCAAGCCCTCAAAACGAGACTGGAAACCCTGGACCTCTAAACCCTCAACTTTTAAACCCTAAACCCCTGAACCGTAAACCTCTACGCCCCGACATAGTATGCGTAGTACGTACCCTTACAGGAACCGTCAATAGGAATCCTGAAAAGCACTTTTCAATCCTTAAAATGCTCTAGCCCACTACAGTAGACGCCAGAAAGTTGGAAGATCACTATCCTTTGAAGTAATGTATAGGAAATCCTAACATTAATCCTCCGAAACCCATGTTCCAACTTTTTGGGGTTCATGATAAACCCTTAACCCTCAACCTCTTCAACCTCTAAATCCTAAACCCTATAGATCCCTTAAAGGAACCCTTAACGATCCCGTAAAGGAGCCCTACCCAAAAGCCACAGAGGCCAAGACACCGTCTCCCACCGGAAACTGGGGTAGGTCCATGCAGAGCGCATCGAAGTTCAAGCCATCCAGGGCCTGGGACCTTCGTTGGGGGGGGGGGGAGAGTGTAGGGTTTAGGGTTTAGGGTCAGGGTTTAGGGTTTTAGGGTTTAGGGTTTGGGGTGTATGGTTAGGGTTTGGGGTATAGGGTTCAGGGTGTACTTGGAGGATCATGGGACTTAGTAAATAAGGTTGTAAGAACCTTAATTGGGGTTATAAGTATAGTTACCCTAATTATAACCCTAGTTACTAAGTCCCATGATCCTTTAAGTAGGGTTTCGGGTTTAGGGTGTATGGTAAGGGTTTAGGGTTTGGGGTGTAGGGTTTAGCGTGTATGGTTGAGGTTCAAGGTTTGGGGTGTAGGGTTTAGGGAATACATGGTTAGCATTTAAGGTTCAGAGTTTATAGGGTTAGGGTGTAGAGTTTGGGGTGTGCCAGTAATATATGGTTAGGGTTTAGGGTCTGGGAGTTCAGGGTTTGGGGTATGTAGGGGTTTTACAGGGGGTTTTGAAGGCTTGGGAGATTGGGGAGCAGCGGTTCAAAGCTTAGGGTATTTTTTGGATTAAGGCACCTGTATCATAGGGAGCTGCGATCCTTTAAAGATCCTTAAAGGGCGACCCTTTAAGGATCCTTAAAGGGCGACCCTGTAGAGATCTTTGAAGGATCTTTTCCCGAAATCGCCCACCTGAGGCCGGCCAAGACGTCCCGCTGGGTGCCAACAAGCTCCCGGAGCGCACGCTGCAGCTGCGGCAGCTGTTGCCACCTCCCAGTCTGAGGCTCCCAGATAGCATGCAATCAATCAACATAATATATATATATATATATATATATATATATCTGCTATATAGATGCCGTGCTATTGGTAGCCTCGATAATTACACTTTTAGCTCAGAGAGACAGCATTTGGCCATTGAGTACAAGATATATGTGAGTTTCTGATATGTGGAGAGACATCACGCTCTCTGCGACACAAAGTCTAAACACCAAGCCAGAGGGCGCCGAAAACCTACACTACATAGAAGATAGTATAGTATAGTTTCTATAATATGTACTCCTGTTATGATCTGGGTCAGTACCCCCCCTATGGGTACTTAGGACCTTTTGGGCAGGCATGCTCTCAAAATGCTGAGCTCAGCTCTTCGGCTTGCTGAGGATGATGCTTTTTGCAGCAGCTGCATGTCTACAAAAATGCCTAGAGAGACAGAGCGAGAGAAAGAGAAAGAGAAAGCGAGATAGATAAAGAGACAGAGAGAGAGAGAGAGAGAGAGAGAGAGAGAGAGAGAGAGAGAGAGAGAGATCGGGAGACAGACGCCAAGAAAGACAGAGAGAGAGAGAGAGAGAGAGAACGCGAAACGGAGACATCCCGTTGACTTTGCGCACGCTCCCATCGTCCGGCACCCTGTAATTATTTAGACCCCGCGAATACCGTTTTATTTCCCTCGACATCTTCCACCGGGTCCACATCCCTCTCTACATGCCCTGTGCCGAGGACTCCATTGTCAGCCCTGAGGCGTGCCTCCATGCCGTCTGCGCCGATGCCTCAGCTACCTGGCGGCGAAGCGTTCCGAGGCGTCCGACAGCCGCCTGTGGCGACAGGAGGAAGGCTGAACAAATGCTGGATATCAGGAATGCTACCTGCGCCGCAAACATCCAACTACTACACAGATGCTAAAACAGGCCCACATGAAGACGCTAGTTTTTAGGTTCGATGCTGAAGTGTCTCCAAGATGAAAACGAATGAAAACGAACGTTCACTAGGGCGGATGGACTGCATCGGCGCGAGCCTTCTTAGTGCGGCACGGCATTCGATGTGACACGAGAAGTCATGGGACAAAGGGAAAATATGAAGAGGGAAAGCGAGAACCCCAAAATCGAAGCCCCTAAACCCTAAACCCCTAAAAACCCTGAATCAGAAGGCGCGCCATCAAGCGAACCGGTAGCGATGGATTTCAATACCTACAGCGAAACTCCAACATCTCCCGTTCTAGCAGCCGCTTGAACAAACCGGTGAACTCTTGTTTTTCAGAACTCAACAAAAAAAGAAGGAGAGGAGAGAGAGACAGAGAGAGAGAGAGAGAGAGAGAGAGACAGAGAGACAGAGAGACAGAGAGACAGAGAGACAGAGAGACGGAGAGGGAGGGAGCGACAGGGAGAGACAGCCCATGCAGTGATTCACCAGTGTCTACTGCAAACAGCAATCAACAAAGAGCCATTCATGCTAGTCATTCCTTGTCGGACTCTACTTCGAAGAGCATTACGCGGATCAGGACTTGTTTTAAACCTTCGTGCCACCCTTGCGGTCCTCTGGGTCATCCAGCACCCCTGCTTGACAGAAGGTAAAGAGCCTCATCCACTTGTCTTTCTCCAGGTTTCGGCCAATGAAGACCAGCTGAGAGAGGGGCTCTTTACCGTCAGGCCAGTCCCCTCGCGGCTCAAACTCACACATGTCGTGCACACCTTGTAGGACGGCCTGCTTCAGCTCACCTGAGGCTTCCTTGACACACACCACCCCTTTATAGCGGTACAAGTCCAAGGCATGCTCATTCTTCAGAGCACTCATGACCTCAGTGAAGCGCTGGATGACGAGGGGCGCACCCGTAAGAGCGATGCTGCAGGACCCCACGCCGGCGTCGTGCCGGGACGCACGCAAGAAACCCCCAGTCTTGGCCCGCTTGCGGCGGCCCTCGGAAGCTTCCACCGGAGTGCTCAGCTGCCACGAGCCTTCGTCGGGCTTCTCCTGCATTCTTTGCAGGATGCGGTCGAGGCTGAAGCCCTGGGCTGTGAACAATTCCTCCAAAGGGAGCGCGGTCGGGTTTTTTGCCAGGCTACAGCGGACGATGGGGCACAATGCATTGATGCTGCGAATGGTTGCCTCCACTTCTTGAAGGGAGGCTGCACTCGCCGCATCCACCTTGTTCAAAAGGATCTTGTCTGCAAAGGCAACTTGCTGCATGGACTCGTTGACAGCATCCTCCGAACGAGTCCTGCTCAGCTGCTGCAAGAAGTGGCAAGCATCCACCAGCGTCAAAACGCAGTCAACACGAGTGCGTTCTCGAAGATCCGGCTCCACGTAAAAGGTCTTACAGACTGGACCAGGGTCTGCGAGCCCAGTTGTCTCGATCAGGATGCCGTCCAAAACCTGAGGAGTATAGGCAGTATAGGGCTTTAGGGTGGCTACAACAAACACAGGAAACTCTGTCGGGGTTGCTACAGAGGTTAGCATCAGGGTCACTATAAGGCTTCGGAACCTTCTGGGCTGGCTCATCGGTGGTGCCGTCCGCTGCTTGGGCATTGGCGGCTTCGGCATCAGCTTTGAGCAGGATCTGCTTCACGGCTTCGACAAGGTCACTCCGAACCGTGCAGCAGAGGCATCCGTTATCTAGGAGCACCACCTGCTCCGTCGTGTGGGCTGCGGTAGCATTTGCACTCTTCAGCAGCTGGTTATCGATTCCGATCTGACCAACTTCATTCTCGATAATCGCATACTTGTATCCATGTCTCGCCTTTAAGACAAAGTTCAAGAGCGTGGTTTTGCCGGAACCCAGGAAACCCGTCAAAATCGTCACCGGGACCTTCCTCAGCTGCTCCGCTTCGCGATCTTTCATCTCCAGTGCCTCCAGTGCTCTTCTCGCACTTCTCAATGCCGGCCCCAGCTCCTAGAATCATTATACTACAATTCTTCGCTGACTTCTGAACCCCCTCTAAAAGCTAAACCTTTAGCGTCCTTATTACGGTTCATATAGAACCCCAAACAGTGTTAAAGTCCTAGGAGTCAGCCAGAAGAACACCAGGAATATAGCAGCTACAATCTGTAGCTACCAGAACATAGAATAGGCAGTTACGGTAACATAGTTACCACAGGACAAAAGTCCTAATACATCCCTGAATCCTACTGACAACCCTTGGACCCCTAACTTCCTAAACCTAAACCCTCAACCCTCAACCTTCAACCCTAAACTCCCAAACCCTAAACTAAACCCCAAACCCTAAAACCTAAACCCAAACCCTAAACTAAACCCCAAACCCTACACCCTAAATAAACCCCAAACCCTACACCCTAAACCCAAACTCGCCAAACCCTTAAGCACTCCTTCTGCTCCCCCTCGGAGATGCCCAGGTCAAGGCTGGCGCGGAGGTCGCGCAGCGCGCGGCCGGGCTGCTCCAGGGCCAGGAAGATGAGGCCGCGCTCCTGGGCCGAAAAAGTGGTTTAGGGCTTAGGGGTTTAAGGGTTTAGGCTTTTAGGGGTTTAAGGTTTAGGGTTTAGGGGCTTAGGGTTTAGGGTTTAGGGGAGCCCAAAGGCTCCATGTACCCATATAGCAGGTACTTAGGCCTTAAAGTACCCATATAGGGACCCCTTTAAGGCCTGGGCCGAAGGTGTGTTCTTTTTTGGTTTTAAAGGGCTCTTTTCGAACTGCAGATACACCTAGAATTCCTGTAATTACTAGGAGGAGTCAGTGGTTGAAGGTTTCGGGTCCAGGGTTTTGGACATCATAAGGTTTAGGGTGTAGGGTTCGGGGTTTAGGGTAGTAGAGGGTCCAGGGCTTGGGTCATAAGCTTTAGGGTGTAGAGGGCTCAGGACTAGGAATCAGGGATTACAATCACAGGGTATAGGGTTAAGGGTAGGATCCAAGTTAGTTTAAGGATTAGGGTGTAGGGGTTCGAGGGCACCTTGGGGTTCGTAGGGCTTCCAGGGTTATTTTTGTTATTTTAGGGGGTGGGGTTATAGGTTTAAGGCTTGGGGTATAAGCAAATCCTGTTATAGGAGCCGTGTTCGTAACCCGTACAGTAGCCCTTGTGATGACATGCTGGAGTGACTATTCATAACTATTCTTTGGCAAACCCTCCAGGTGGATCAGGGATGTGTTGTGGCACAGCTGAAAGAAACGGGCCTTGCAACCTTATTATCCTAACAAACTGTGTGATAGCGACCCTCAGCTGGCACAACATACCAGGCAGAGGCTCAACCCTAAACTACTAACGTCCAAAATCATAAACCCCCTAACACCTGGAAACCGAGGCTCCTAATTAAGCTCCCCCAAACCCCTAAACCCTGAAAAGCTTAAACTTAAACCGGCCCTAATTAAACACCAAAAAACCCTAAACCTAAACCCCTAAAGCCCTGACCCCCTGAACCCCTATGATGCCCTTATAGTAATCCACCCCTAAACCCCTAAACGCCTCTACCCTAACCCCGCCCCAACCCCTAAACCCACCAACAAAAAAAAACTATAACCCCTGTAACACCTAAATATCCTAATCCCCCCTGAACCCCCCCACCCCCCACCCCCGAACACAGAGATTCCACAACCCCTTGATTGAGGAATATACCATAAGTCATATTAGGGTTTTATTCGAATTGAAGTTATATTCCTTAATTAAGGGGTTTTGGAGCTTCTGGGAACCGAGGTTCCAGGTCATGAAACTCTTAACCCTAACAATCCTAAACCCCTACACCCCTCTACAACCCCTAAACCCCTCTACCCTGAACCCTAGACTCTATAATTCTAAATTTAGAACTTAAATCCTAGTCCTAAACCCCTCTAAAACCCAGGTTCCAGGAGGATCAGGAAACTCTTAACCCAAAAAAACCTAAACCCCTGCACCCCCCTACAACCCCTAAAACTATACCTCTCTACCCTAAACCCTAAACCCTCAAACTCTAAACCCTAGAACTTAAATCCTAAACCCCTCTAGAACAGAGGTTCCAGGAGGATCAACACATCCTCAACCCCTAAACCCCCCTACAACCCCTAAGCCCTAAAACCGAGGTTCCAGGAACACCCTACTACCCTAAACCCTAAACCCTACTTTTTAAGGACTTATATAAGGAAATCATAATAAGGAACCCTAAGAAGCTACAAGTAGGTTCTTCAGGGTCAAGGTAGACCTTAAAACCGAGGTTCCAGGAGGATCAGGGCGAAGAGGCCCACGTCGGCCTCCGAGGCGCCCGCCTCGCGCAAAGCCAGGCCGAAGCCCGCTGGGTCGGTGTAGAACTTCGAAGTGTCCTCGGCTGTTTCGGCTTAGGGAAAAAGTAGGGTTTAGGGTTTAGGGTGTAGGGAAAAGAGTATGTGAATCCTACTAATTTGGGGAGAACTTCGAGGTGTCCTCAGATTTTTGGGGTTAGGAGTTTATAGTAGGGTTTAGGGTTTAGGGGTGTAGAACTTCTAGGTGTCCTGGGATCTTCCGGGGTGAGGATTGAGAGGGTTTAGAGGGTTGAGGGCTTACAGAGTTTATGGGTTTGAGGATTTACAAGGTCTATGAGCTTGAGGGTTTATGGGATTTGCGGTTTACGGTGTAGAGCTAGTTGGGGTTCATGCTTGTCGGTTTAGGATTTCGGGTTAGGGCTAGTTAGGGTTCAGTGTTTAGGGTTTAGTGTTTAGTGCTTTAGGAGGCTCTGAAACATGCATAAATTTCCTATCTTGAGGTTTAAAATCAGCATGTATGTTCGAGAATTGCCCGGCGTCGATGCCGAGCTGAAGGACACAGGGCTTCTCACTGAAACGCCTCATCTCCAGCATCAAGGCCTTCATAGCATCAAGCGGCCGACCTTGCTGCCGCTCCCGCTGCACATCCCCTCGCCATGCATCCGCCATGGCGGGCTTTCAGTCCATTTCTGATAATCCTAAACCCCTGAACCACTAAACTGATGCATTTGGACACTGCGTCCTCACATGTTTCGCAAAATGCTCCACAGCCTTGTAGGAAAGTCTTTAAGGATGGCTCATGCCGCAACCGAGCATGGGCTCTACATAGCATCAGTCCGCAAGCCAAAAGTTCTTCCGACTGCTCACATGCATCCGAAAGCTGGAGTTTGCTTCTGCTTTGGTTTTAAGGCATCGTTCCTTGCAGTTTAATGTTTCGGGTTGAGGGTACCCAGGAGAAACGGTGCCACAAAGAAGTGCTTACCAAACTGAACTCTAAACACCATCGACCTTCACCCGGGCCCTGCGCTCCATGCCTCCGCCTGCGACGCAGACTCTGCCGCCTGTGCTTCCAGCAATGGCAACTTCTTCCGCAACCGAAGCTCCTCCATCAACACTTCGGGTCAGTAGGGACTTTTACTGGTTTCTCTCGAAGGTTCCACAAGGGTTGCTTTCAGAGATAGTGTCCCGGTGTAGTGGGGCCTTACTTTACATGCTTCAGGTGGGCTCTAACAAGTAGGAACGTTTTGAAACTAGGCTTTGGAGCAACCGGGAGAAACCAAGTATAAATTTGAATGTCATAACGGACCCTCTAAGGAAGAGGTCCGAACAACAGTACAAAAGAATGGTACTCCAGAAAACAGTTAAGAATAATTCGTTCGACGCAGCTTTGGCTGCTGGAGTTGTTTTGCGAGGCTCCAACATACTCTGCCTCCTGCTCTAAACCTAACCCCTAAGCCCTAAACCGGGACTCTTTCGCAGCAAGCTCATGCTGAAAACTCGCACCTCGGGCTGCTACTTCTGAAGTCCAGACACTGAACCCAAAACCCTGGACCCTGAAAAGCCTGCGTTTTCAAGGACCTTTATCAGGAAACCATAAAGAAGGAACCCTAGAAGGCTAGGTTATTTGCGGGTAAGGTAGAATCCAGAACTTAAGGTAAAAGCCAGAAAGTTGGAATATGATTATCCTAACCCTTCTATGGTAAATTATAGGGTATCCTACCATGAAACCATATTCCAACTTTCTGGAGTTCCCTGTAACCCCAAGCCAAAACCCTAAACCCTCAAAGCCAGAAGCCCGGCAACAACCCTAAACCCTAAACCGAATCCCTAAACCTGAAACCTAGGCCGCCTGTAGAAGCTGCGATCCTTGCAACCGAAACCAGAACTCTCTTCTCCAATAACCAGGCCCAAACAAAGTTCAAACTTTTTAAGCTAGACCAAATATATGAAGCCAAAAAGTTTAAAGTTCTCCAATAGGCTAAGTAAGAGAATTGCCGTCAGCTTACTTGTGCAGCTTTCCTAGGAGGAACTGAATTTGAGATTCGGGGCTCTGGTTTAGGGTTTGGGATTGCGATACACCTGAAAGGAAAAAGGTTGTTCACTCCACGACCACTGAGTCAAAGACACATCAGCAGAAAGAAGCTGTAACGGCTGATTGCTAATAGTGCGACTAGCAGAGGAGTTTGTCACATTGCGGCAGTAAGTGCTGGGTGTCGATTCCGACAACCCTTCAGAGCTACTTATGGTTAGACTGGTATGCCTGGTATGCATTCACACGATAAAAAGGCCACCTATACAGTATAAGCTTACAGTTGGAACAAGCTTTTTGGGTAAAAACTAATAGAGTTAACCCTAAACCCTAAACCGTAGAGTCGCTGACCATGAGGAACCCTAAGGAGCAGACCACTGCAACCCTGTCCGAACGAATGGAACTTCTCCTACTCAAGTCCCAATGCCCTAAGCCCTAAACCCCAAGCCCCGAAACCCCAAACCTTAAACCCAGAAGCTCTAAACCCAGAATTCAGAAGCCCAAAACCCTACACTCGGAAGCACCAAACCCTAAACTCAGAAGCTCTAAACCCTAAACCCAAAAGCCCTAAACCCTGAACCCTAAGCCCAGAAGCCAACCAATGCCCTGAGCCCTAAACCCCAAGCCCCGAAGCTGCAAACCCTAAACCCAGATGATCTAAGCCTTAAGCCCAAACCCAGAAGCCCTAAGCCCAGAGTTCAGAAGCCCAAACCCTTACACTCGGAAGCCCAAAACCTTAAACCCGGAATCCCTAAAGCCAAAAGCCCTAAACCCTAAACTCAGAAGCTCTAAACCCAAAAGCCCTAAACCCCATACCCAAAAGCCCTAAGGAGCTCTAAACCCTACACCCAGCAGCCCTCATCCCTACGACTTGCCTCATCCTGTGCTTCGATCATCTTGGCTTCGAACTCTGCAATCTCCTGATGCCTCGACATGAGGGGTTTAGGGTTTAGGGTTTAGGGTTTAGGGTTTAGGGTTTAGAGTTTCCGAAAACAGGGAAACGGGGGACCTTTAGGGTTCCTTTAAAGGGTACCATAAGGGCTCCTTCAAGGGATTTATAAGGTTCTCTAAGGGATTAGGGTTTTAGGATCAGGGAGTTTCCGAAAGTAGGGGACCCTAATCTAGTACCCTAAATAGTAGGATCCTGATTCATAAGGACCCCAAAATAAAGTACCCCTAATTTTCGGAAGCTCCCATGATGCAACTAGGGAGCAGCTGGCTATAAGGGTGCTAAAGCTGGTTTAGGGTTGAGTGTTTGGGGTTTAAGGTTCTTGGTTCCGGGGTCAGGGTTAAGGGTTTGGGGCTTATAGGGATCAAAATGATAATGGTACTGCAAGTGTTCTATACTTCTCGAACCCCAAAATCGTGGCAATCGCACAACCGAATGCATCTGCTATGTGTCACAAAGTTTGGGGACTGAAGGATCAGGCTCGGGGGCTCAGGGTTCAGCGCTTGGGGGTTTATCGACATGGTGTAGGGCTCCGGGACTGCGCTAGGCATCAGGGGTTCAGCGCCAATACAGAAGCCTCAATTATTTAGAATGAGGTTTTGGAGCAAGTTATAGTATAATATAGAAGCCCTAATGATGGGAGTGGGGCTATGGGGCAGGTATAAAGATTAATTGTCAGAAGGAGTCCTACAAGGACTAATATTGGCAATTATGCCGACCCTGCATGTCTTGCGGTCTGCAGACTAGACTTCAAACCCGGAGCTTTTCCTAGGCCAACGAGTACTGCGTGAAAAGGTGCACTTCAATACATACATATATATATATATATAGAGAGAGAGAGATTTATTTATCTGAATATTTACACACGCGTACATACATACGTACGTACAGACAGACAAACAAACATACATATGTATATATATATATGTATGTATATATATATATATATATATATATATATAATACCAGGTGTACGGTACCTGGATACCCCAAGATTTCAAACCGAACTGCACAATCGACACCCGCAGCCCCAAACAGTAAAGCGAACAACTACAAACTACCCAAGCCCACAAGCACTCCTTGCAATCATCTTTCGGAAACCCTTCAAAACAACCACTTATATACCTGAAGCTCAAAAACCCGAACCAAGCTGCCGCGAGCTCAGCGCCGCTCGCAGGGTGAACAAGTCGGCGGAGTCCTCGGACATGAAAGCCTACCCTAACCCCAAGGGTCCATTTACCTAATTACTCTCCAAAATCCTAACCTACATAACTACTATCCTAAAACCGAGTATTTCATTATTGGGTCCTTTGGACCCTTGGGGTTAGGGTCCAGTTCACCCAATAATCAGGCACTCGGGTTTGGGATAATTGTTATGTAGGTTTGTATTTGGGAGAGTATACGATAATTAGGTACTTGGACCCTTGGGGCTATGGCTAACAGCCAGGTCTGAATAACATCAAGCAGACTAAGGCAAGGGTTATGAGTTTTTCTGTTATACTTAAGCTTATGCCAGGGACGGCTAGGGCGGGTGGGGAATGATATTCGTTACCGGCTTTCCAGACCCAATATTACTTTCTTGTGGGGTCCGCTCAGGGTCAGAATCTGAGGGTTGCGAGTTTGGGGTTTTGGAGCGGTTTAGGGTTTTAGGGGTTCAGTATCCGATTAAGGCTCAGGGTTTAAGATCCAAGGCGCGGGATGAAGGATTTGGAGTTTGGGAGTTTCGGGCTGAGGGTCCGATTGCGGCTTCGGGTTTGGAGTCCGATGTGGTTTCTGCTCAGGGCCCGATCATCGTTGACGGGGCGAGGTTCGGAGTCCTCTAGTTAGAGGTTCATGGATTCATAGGCGAAAAGGAGGGACCCTTAATAAGGACCCCTAGGCCCTAGGTATATACCCTTAATATAGCTATTATATACCCATTATATAGCCCATTATAGGGGAGGGGTCCCCAGTAAGGGTCCGTCCTTTTCCCCTTTGGTTCATGGATTCTTATAAGCGAGGTAGTAAGTCCCGTCATCCGGGTCATCATTATGGTTGCCCTATACCTAGAACCCACAAGCCATGCACCTCCAAGTATGGCTCGGATGCTAGTGGGAAGTTACTTGTGTGTCACTGCAGGCTCTGGTTACGGTTCAGGATGTAGCAGCGCAATTTCTGTCGGAGCTGTTAGGAGCCGAGCTGAACGTCAGACATGGATTTTCGGGCTAAACTTGAAGGGCTCCGAGTTGCGCGTAAGAAATCGTGAACCTTCCCTCTCTCCGTGTGCACTCGAATGCTCTGGTTCCAAAAAACATGATACAGAGGCCTGAAGATATAGAAGAGGGATTGGGGGGGTCTATTGCACACACTGCAAGGACAACCGCATCCACTGGGCTCTGCGTGCAAGAGGCCTCAGGTACGACTTCGGGGGCACCACAGCCCGTCCCTGCAGTGCGCATAAATTCAAGGGCTTTGTGCTCTCGTACCAAAGTGTAGTCAAGCCTAGCCGAATCCAAAATTTAGGATGTAGGGTGGGTTCTTCAATGTTGGGGTTACAACTATAGTTACCACCTGCAGCCCCAAATAAAACTGCCCATGAACCTCCAAGTAGTACCCCTTCACCGTAAACCCTGACCCCTAAACCCCTGTACCTTAACCAGACTCTTATAGCTACCCATGAACCTCCAAATATCCGCGGTTCCCTTTTCTTGTCGAAGCCTAAGCTTTTCCAGCTTCCGGGCTTGGTAACCCCCTTGGGGATCGAACCTATATAAGCTTCTCGACATCCCAAAGGGTCTTATAGGGTTTCTAGAGCGGGAATTACTATTTTGGCTTGGGTATAAGTATTCCCACATAGGTACGTAGAATCCTTTGGGTATTATGATATACAGTAATAATTAATAATAAGCCCGCACGCGCTTGTCTAACTCATGTAGGGGCATTAAGAAGTACGACAAGGTTTTGTGCTCCTTTTATAGTACAACTACAACCAGGAGCCCTAAGAAACAACATTGGTAGCTATTCAGGCTTCCATATTCAATATGACAAAACCCTAGACCCTGCACCTAGACCCTAAAGCCCTATAGACACCCCTAAACCCTCAACCCCTAGACCCTAAACTTCTAGATTTTCAAGAACCTCCAAGTTTGGCCGAAGTGGCCCAAAGAGCTGCGAAAGGCATCACGGGAGCTCCTCGTCTGGAACTTCGAAAGGCAAAGCACAGGGGCCTTCATGATTATTAAGACGGCTTTTGTATGTGTATTATGCTAAATAAAGAATACTAACAATCATAAGGCAAACAATAATACTAAAAATAATCAACATATATATATATATATATATATATATATATATATGTATATGTATATATATATATATATACATATACATATATATATATATATATTGCCGGGGCTACAGTTGCTAATTGGCGTCTGCGGGTCTTGGGTTGAGTGCTATGGGACATGAGGCAGTATTGGACCAAAGTTACTTCCAAGCCTAGCTTCCAACATTCACTGGCTGCTTGGCCCTCTAAATACTAAAAGCCTTACTAGTAAACAGGATCCTCATAAGCCCAATAAGGCAATGAAGAAAGATAGAAACATTCTACGTCATCATCGTCATAATATCGGGGTCATCGCCTTGGGGTTATCGGTTTCGGGTTTAGGGGTTTAGGGTCGTGTCGTTTTGCTGAAGCTGCTTCTCGGGAGTATCGGGGATCGACCTTAAACCCGAACACCCTCAACCCTGAAGCTTTTCACACGAGGGCTCCTCTCCACCAGCAGTGACTCCTTGAGCTGTGCAATTTGTGATGCCGATGCCTGCGCCGAAAGGTTGGGTTCCTCAAGGGTTTCTTGAAAAGGTTCCCGAGGGAGTTTAGGGTTTAGGGCCTAGGGCCTTGGGTGGCTTGGGGCTTAGGGTCAAGAGTGTACCTTCGGCGAACGACTCTCCTTAACCCAGACACCTTCTCTATTGCATCGAGATTCCATTCAAAACTCTGCTGTCGGAGTCTGTTTGCAACTCCTACCTAAACCCTATATAAGTCCTAAGCTAGCCCATAGCGGCCCCATAAACCAGGTAAGCTCCAATAGGCTCTGAAGCCAAAACACCTAAACCCTATAAGCGAACCCCCATGTAGAGGAACTGATCATTAGAATAGGGATTTGCTGTGTATTGTAGCATATTTATAACAAGGAACCCTGAGAAAAATATTGGTATTCACTTAGGCTTCTATAGTATCAGCCCTGGTGAAAAGCCGTCTGCCTCCAGCTTCTGCGAAAGGACTCGGATCTGCTCCTCCAGGAGCTCGGCATCCTTCCCGAACGAGGGTCTTGATTGCAGGCAGGTGGGCTTTTGTTGTTGTTGTTGTTGTCTCTGTTGCCGGTGCCGATGCCGGTGCTGGTGGCGGTGGTGCTGGTGGTCGTGGTGTTGGTGGCGGCCTGCTGAGGAGGATGCTGACGATAATACAAGTATACTTCCGTCACTGTGCTAGTTAGTCATGAGGTAGTGCAGGGGGGGTTGTTGCAGCAGCCTGGTGGCGAAGCAAGCCGACACATGAGTTCATGCGCGTATTGACAAACGTCCATCTCCGGTGTCGGCCTGGGTGACTCTGAGAACAATTCCCTTGGATAAAGCTTAAATTAAATTGGAAGGCGCATGCACAAAAACGTTTGATACATCGACACAGTAAGGAACAGCCTGATTAAACATCCTTGCGCACAGTGGAACAATGAAGATTGCCATGGCTTAGCGAGCCTTCCTTCCTTCGGACCCCATTACACCCACCAGATCACTTTCCTATAATCTCATAGTACCTCCATGAGATCCTCGCTGCAGCGACCGATCAAATATGCCAAGAAACACTACATGCTAAGCCCGCCCGCCTTTTAAAATCGAGTGCAAGAAACCACAAGTCCCAAATCCCGATCCCCAATGCAACATACCCGTAGAGCCGCACCCTAACCGTACCCCGCCTGTTCCATAGTGGCCGTGGCACACGCCTCCGCAGCGATTTCCCCACGGATCAAGCCCACCTGCGACCTCGGAGGAAGATTTGGATTCACGGGTTTGGGGTTTAGGGTTCTGGCTACACAAGGTGCATTGCGATTTCGACGGGGGTGAAGGGGTGCATGCCAAGGCCTAAGATTCAGAACAACTGCCAAACGATCGCAATGAGCAGCTCGTATATCGATGAAGAAGGCATGTAACAACCAAAAGAACAAATAACTAAATAAAAATATATAGATGTATTTTGTTGGATTCTAGGATTTTTAATTCAGGAGCCGCTACTGCTTGCCTGTAGTGTCTTCGCAACATGATGAATTTCGTCGTACAAATAAATCGCCGTCGAGCATCTCTAAAAAGCTTAAACCTAAATCCTAAACAAAAAGGACTGTGACTAAGGGCTTCGGGACGGAGGACCAGCACCAATTGCGGGCTTACTTGGTGAGTGTAAGGTCCACTCCAAGAACGGGTTCGGGAAGCACTTGCTTGCGGTGTTTTGAAGACCTTCGGGAGCACTTTGGTGCAGGATTACTTGGAGGTTCATGGGTCGTTATAAGTGGGGTTATAAGTATTGCAACTATAGTTATAACCCATATTAGAGGACTTAAAACCCCACTTATAACTACCCATAAACCTCCAAGTAGGGTCCAGGGCCAGGGTTTTTCGTCTCTGTTGGGTGCAACCTCGATCCTGCGGCCAAATGTCTCGGGCTCACTGCAGAAGGACGCCGTGATGCAATCCTCTGCAACGTTCGAGTTTAGCGGTTTCGCATTGTCCCGCAGACGATTTGTGGGGTCTACGATTCTAGGGTTTGGGGTGTCAAGGATTGGGGTGTAGGCTTCCGTCGGGGCCTGAACCCAAATACTCCACACCTCCAAACTCTAAATGCTCTAGCCGTCACCCCAGGGCACCGAAAGCTAATCTCCATGGGAGCTCACAAACAAGGGATAACAAGCGTTGAGGACGTCTTCTTGAGGAACTTTGGGGAGTTGAATCTTGTCGGGAGCTTCTTAGAGTGCTGCAAAGGTTCAGAGCTTGAGGCTTGAATGTTTAGGCTCACTGGGTGTATCGGGCATTTAGGGTTTCTCCACACCCACAGAACACCTCCAGCCTCTGGGTAGTTCTCTAAAGTAGCGTCCCTTTTAGGCTGCTGTTTGTAAGGTTGCGGTACAATTTTGGGGACTTAGAAAGGGATCCTAATTTAGAGAACCACCCACATGCACCATGCGCCCTAGACTCTAGGGCCTAGAGGGGCCGCGAGGAAATGGGCGATCCTGCTATGTGGCTTGACGGCTCTATAACGGTGAAGTCTGCGTGCATTCTTGCTTGGAGGGTCGGGGACTTAGTAACTGGTTATTTTAGGGACTTATAAGTACCATAAACCCAATTAGGGTCCCTTTTAGGGTACTTATAAGCTACCGACTTACTAAGTCCCCTGACCCTCCAAGTACACCCTATCTAAGACCCTAAACCTACTGACACCTTAAGCCCTAAGACCCTAGTCTTAACTGGCCCAAGACCCTAATATAGGGGTCTTAATAATTAGAATAGGGCTCTGGCGCCCCTTATTCTGTAATTAGAATAAGGATCCCCCGCCCCCCCCCCCCCAAGAAAAAACAAGTGTATAGGTAGTTATTAAGGCCCCCCCAAAAATGGCTGGAACCACACCGCGCCTGCGTCCGGTCCATGCAGCTCCGCTCCAGGTCGTCCAGGGCCTGCAAAGCCTTGTCGTAGAACTCCTTAGCAAGTTGAGAATTTAGGGTTTAGGGTGTACTTGGAGGGTCGGGGGACTTAGTAAGTAGGTAGTAGGTAGACTTATAAGTACCCTAAAAGGGACCCTAATTGGGGTTATGGCGCTTATAAGTCCCTAACATAACCAGCTACTAAGTCCCCCCACCCTCCAAGTAGGGGAACTCCTTAGCAAGGGATCAGTTTTCGGGCTGGTGTAAGGTTTTAGGGTTTCGGCTTGGGTTTGGCCTAGGTTTTGGTGTCCAGGGTTTAAGGTCTCGCTACTGGTTTTAGAACAGAACCGGCTAAAGCGAGTGACCCGAAGACAGCAGGGAGAACAGAAACGAAGTGATCCGGTTCCAGCAACCGCGAGTATGTAGGAGCGTGATTCGCAAGCCCATCCCGGGCTAATGTTGCTCATAATGGGGTTAAGGTTGCTTATAACACGTTGCTTATCGTCGGGATCATGAGCTATAAGGATCTTGTACATGTAAGCACAGACCTACATCAGCCAGGCAGAAAGAAGGAGACTCAACGAGACCCGACATCTTGCAAGCACTGTCATTGGAGTCATTGCCAACATGTGGCACCTGAACTCTACTTGGAGGTTCATGGGTAGTAAAAAGTGGGGATATCAGTCGCTTAATATGGGTTATAAGTATAGTTACCCTATATAACTAAGTACACTTGGAACCCAAAGCTTCTTGAAGAGACGGCTCGGTCTGGTCGTGGAGGATACGCTCATGCATCTCGATGGAGATGAGCCCACCACCTGAGCCCAGAGTAGGCCCTGTGTCCTTGTTTTAAGGTTTAGGTTCCCTTATAACCCCCTTTAACCCAAAAAGGGCACCCTGTTTATTCCTAGGACAAGCTTTCCTTGACCCGCCTCAAGCAAGCTCACACTTTCAGATGAGGGCTTGGGCTTGTACGTATACTTAGAGCACCCCCCCCCCCTCACTCAAAAATGAGGCTTCCAAATAAGCCCCAGCTCAACAAACACGCCCTAAATCAAAGTTTTCAAATTAAGCTGAGCTCAGCAGCTAAACCTTAAATCACAAAGTTAGCCTCTAAACCCTATACCATCAACCAATCCTAACCTCCAAAACTTCGCCCCTAAACCCTAATCCAAAAACCCTAAACCCCTCCCGAAACTTAGCCCTCAACTCAGCTGTTGAGCCACTTTTTTCAAGCTTCTCCGACTGGTCCTGCAAGGATTTCCTGCGAGCTGCAAGCCAGGGCCGATGGGCGGAGAAATGGGTTTAGCTAGGATACCCAGTTGGGTAGTTATAAGTAGGGCTATAATTAGGGTAACTATACTTATAACCCATATTAGGGGCTTATAACTTCACTTAAACTGGGATACCCAGTAACCTAAGAATAAAAAGGCCTCTCTTTTTGGTATTGGGTAACTTTATAAGGAACCTAGGACTACAAAAAGGGAACAAGGGTACTACTGGGCATCCTAGTTAGGGTTTAGGGTATAGGGTTAGGGAGTAAGGGTTTAGGGTTTGAGATACTGGTAATTGTTACTTACTGTTTCGGTTTTCCGGGTCGGTCTCGAGTTCAGGGGTTTAGGGTGTTAGGGTTTGGGGTTTAGGTTAGGGTTTCGGGTTTAGGCTTTTAGGCCTTTTTTGAAAGGGCTTAGGGTTTTACGGGTTAGTGTTTATCGTTACTTGGAGGTGCCTGGGTAGATATGTACGTGGAGTTCTAAGTAGGGCAACTATACTTATGAACCCTCATTAAAAGGAGACTTATTTTCCCACTTGTGACTACCCCTAAACCCTAAACCCTAATGACCCTCCAAGCAATATTTGGCAGCTCTGGTTCTGATCAAATTTCTGGGGTTCCAATGGGTTTTAGGGCTGAGGGGGCCGAAGGTCTAATACAAAAGCTAAGAGAAATGCCAAGTATGCCTTCTTTACATGGTTTTATAAGGACTTTCAATATTTTTAATCGTGACTTTCAATATGTTTAATCGTTTTCCCTTATAGTCCCTCAGCCCAGTGTAGAAAAATCTTCGTCGCAGTGTTAACCTCACTATGTTACACTGTGTGGAACCTGTAAAGAACCTCCATGACCTTATTGTCATTCACCATAAAGCCCGAAGCATAAATCGATAAAGCCCTTACACAAAATCATCCAATTATCAAGGAAACCCCGTTTCAGCCTGAACCTCACTATGAAGGCCTACGAATCTGCGGGTACGGGGATTCCGTTTTGGGGTAAGCCGTGGGCTCAGGGTTTAGGGTTGGGCGCTTAAGGCTTGGGGGTCGGGGTTTGGGGTTTCGGTTTGGGGTTGTGACAGGTAGGTTTAGGTTTAGGGGTTTAGGGCTTGAGGTTTGGGGTTTGGGGTTGAGGACCGGGAGAAGAGGGAACAGATTTAGGTATTGGAAAGACTGGGCTTGGCATGCTTTACCAAGGACAAGTGCGGCTGCTGCACTTATACGTTGCTGTGATTCTCCTTCCAGATTCCACCTTCAAAGGTATGGGCAGCTCTTGTTCCAGAAGGGGTTCGTATGCATCCTACACCACAGCCAAGCCTCCTATCGGCACAGAACAGGCAACACTCTCTGTATCTAAGCCCGATCTCACCATTCAGTGATGCCTCTGGCTCTGCATGAACTGCTCTTCGCGCAAGAAGGAGCCTTGGTGGGAGATAAACCGGATACTTTACACTTGCATCTGGCCATTGAAAATTGGGGGAGTCGTGTGCCCACTGCTCACAATTCGGATGATTGCATGACGTGGAACTTGATACATCACTTTGTGCAAGCAGAGGGCCTTGATTCATGACCAGACCCACAGGCAAGCTATCACTGACTACATAAATCTGAAAGGCACTCCGAACCAATGTCGTCGGCCCCTTCTCTTCTCGATGCCGGTCCTGTCCCTGACCCCTGAAACTCACTCCCTCCGTTTCTCTCTCCCCGATAAAATATCTGAAAACAACTCGATGAACACCTCCCCCTAAACACCCAACCCCCACACCCTGAATCCTCCACCTTAAACATCCCAAATCTCAAATCCTAACTCCTAACCCCCTAAGCCCGAAACCCTAAACACATATTTAAAAGCATGGGCCCCGAACGAGACCGGAATCCTGCACGCGATCATGGCTGCATGACAACAAGCTCGCAACATAAACCCTGAACCTTAAATCCTAAATTACATCTAAACCCTTAATCCTGAACCCTGTAAAACTAACCTCAGCCCTCAATCCCGAAGCTCAACCCTGTGAGCCCTGATGCCTAAGCCCTTGACCCGTAATCCGATACCCTGAACCCTGAATCCTAAACTCCAGAACACTATGCTGTGAATCCTAAATCCCCAAACCCCGGCAGTATAGGGTTTGGAGATTTAGGATTTCTTAAACCCCAGATTGCCCTACATCCCGAATCCCAAATCCCGGCCTTCCCGTTCTCGCTCGTAAATCCGCCGCAGGTTGTTCAGATGCTCGTCCTGTTTTGGGGGTCTATGGTTTGGGATTAGGGTTTAGAGATTGGGGTTTGCGGTTTGGGAGTCAGGAATTTAGGGCTTAGGGCGTCAGGTTTGGGCTCCAGGAAACTCATCCTGGGGGTTCGGCGACCCTCGCTGGGGGCCGCTCGCTTTTCTGCCACAGAGCTGTGGCATCTGTCAAGGCCATGGATTTGAAACAAGGGTTAGTTACATTTAATATTCACCAAGCAGACAGAGAGAGAGAGAGAGAGAGAGAGAGAGAGAGAGAGAGAGAGAGAGAGAGAGAGAGAGAGAGAGAGAGAAGGAGAGAGATTGAACGAGACAGGGCCAGGGAAACAGAACGATGGACAAGGCAGCAATGGCCCGCACCTTCAGCTGCAGCTCCGTGAGAGCAGCCGCCTCCTCCGAGCGCGCGGTGATCAAGCGAGCCTGTTAGCTGTTAGCAGGACTTTCACCCTAAACCCTAACCCTGTAAACCCCAGGCCCTATACATCCTATGAGCCCTAAACCCTAGGAACCCTAACCTACATTACAACAGGGTAGGCGGGGTAGGGCGTGAGGGGGTGTGAAGTTTGGGTGCTCTTGAGGTTTAGAGCTTAGGGCTCAGGCTCTCTGGGCCTTGTCAAGGAATTTAAGTTAGGGCTTAGGGTTTAGGGTTACCGTGATAAGGAAGCCATCTAATTTAATTACTGTAGATCCCTACTATGGTAACATAACCTGAGTTCCTTAACAAGAGCCCTCCAGGGGGAGATCGGTCTCTGCAATCTTGCTGTAGACACATCATGGCCTCTGCAATCAGCGTTAATCGTGTGTGTGTGTGTGTGTGTGGGGGGGGGGGGGGGGTTGAAAGGTCCAGAGTCTGTAGGTTCCAGTTCATACGGTTTTGCTGTGAACTTGCCAGAACCTTCTAGGTCGGCGGTGCAGTAAACCGCGAGTGCAAGCGCACGGCCAGCCGCGCGACTCAGCCGCCTCCGCCAAGAGCCGTGCCGGTTGACGTGCCTCAACCTCCCAGATGGCTGACAATTTCTGCCGCGGCTTGGGGGAGGGCCGAAAGGCCTTCGACCTGCTGCTTGATGGAAGCAACATGTGCTGCAGCGGAGTCCCGGCGATCAAGCAAGACTGTAGCCGCGATGTTTTGCCTCCGAGCATCCTACTACTCCGTTGGCGGCACGATCTCAGTCCGAGCATTCTAAAGTTCTGAGCCGCGGGCTCGCCCCAACAACCCATCGAAGAACAGAAGTTAAGATAACCTAAGTCAGAGCTGAAGCCATACGAGTAAGGATACCGCTATAATGACCGGCATCATCTATAGCTAAGGGGCATGGAATCTTTGGGTTCTCTTCATACCCCGAAGTGGTCTCCCTGATGCCGACATCCCGTGCCACTACAACAGTCTACTTGGAGGTTCATGGGTTGTTATGGGTGGGGTGAAAAAGCGGGTAACTATCTATCTATCTATCTCTCTCTCTCTCTCTCTCTCTCTCTCTCTCTCTCTCTCTCTCTCTCTACATATATATATATATGTGTATAACCATATTGGGGGATTTATAAGCCACTTGTAACCTCCAAGCAGTCCCAATCGGCTTCATCCGCAAAGTAGAGAGAGGCTTCAGGCATCGATTGTTGTGGTTTGTGGTTCAGGGCTCATGCTTAAAGGGATTGGGGCGTAGGGTTTAGAAATCCTTGGAGAGCAATGGACCGTCAATCGACTTGAACAAGAAGAAGCTATCAAAAACAGAAATGCTCCCTGCGTCATTGTTCGAGGCTTAACCACCTTTATCCTGAGCCCTAAATTAAATCGACTTGAACAGGAACAAGCTATCAAGAACTGTAGCGCTCGCTGGGTCAGCGCTTGAAGCCTGGCAACCTTATCCTGAGACCTAAACCCACCCCAACTCTTTTCCAAAAACTGTCCCTAAACCCTAAACCCTAATCCCTTAACCCTAAGCCCCAGACCGAAATCCCTTAACCCTAAACCCTAGACCCTATAAACCGTAATTACTTGGAGGGTCGGGGGACTTAGGTAGGTAGTATATAAGTAGACTCATAAGTACCCTAAAAGGGACCCTAATTGGTGTTATGGCACTTATACGTCCCTAAAATAACCAGTTACTAAGCCCCCCGACCCTCCAAGTAGGGCTTAGGCTCGGCCTTTGCATCTTCGCTCTTCTTCCAACAAAGTGCCTCTTCCTCTCGGACGGAGAGCAGCTCATCCTGGTGAGACATGACAAGAATAAGGTCTAGGGTTTAGGGTTCACTTGGAGGGTCGGGGGACTTAGTCACTAGTTATTGTGTAGACTTATAAGTACCCCAAAAGGGGTTAGGATACTTAGAAGTCTACAAAACAACTAGTTACTAAGTCCCCCGACCCTCCAAGTAGGGTTTGGGGTTCAGTTTTTTTTTTTTTTTTTTTTTTTTTTTTTTTTTTTTTTTTTTTTTTTTTTTTTTTTTTTTGTTTTTTTTTTGCGGGCCCTTTTCCAACTGCGTTACCAGCGGGAATACCTTACCAGGTGGAGCCTATGTTGGGGCCCAAGTTTGGGGTTCAGGGTTTGGGGTTTAGGGTTTTCGGTTTGGGGTTCAGGGATAACTAAATAGCCATAATAACAACAAGAATAACAAGAATACCAAGAAGAGCTGACAATGGTATTGGTAGTAATGCTAACCGTAATACTGATGATAACAACTAAACAACTAACCATAATAACAACAAGAATACTCAGAACACATGACATAAGGTTTAGGGTTTAGGGTATAACCCCAAAGGGTCCTAAGTGCCTATGAGGTAGAATGTAGAGTTTCTATATTCGGGATTCCTATTATGATAGTACCCGGGACCAGTCAGAAACAATTATCTCAATTACTAAAAGAAATGACAATAGTATTAATAGTAGTGACACCCATAACAATGCTAATAACTTTGTTTTAAATACCACAATCAAACCGAGAGTCGCCCATACTTGGGCTCAGTCTTGCCTAGGCTTTATCTGGGTGCCTTATACCGTCCCCGACGTGGGTTCTATATATATATATATATATATTTTTGTTTATTTATTTTTTATTCATCCTTATGTAATTACTTATTCATATGTCAGGTACCTCCCTACTTGATCTACGGCTATCACGACTGAAGAGCACCCTGCAGGTTACTAGTTAAACTACTGTATTGGCCATGTACAAAAAATACGAGTATACCCGAGTTACTTAGCAGTTACCCAGAAGTACCCCGGAACCTGCAAGCGACCCCTGATCAGACGACCCCAAGCCCTGTAGACCCTAAAGCCTAAACCCCCTTTTGCCTCTAGAGTCTGGACAGCAGCATGGGCATCCTTGGCTGCAGCCTCCTTGACCTCAGGGCAGCCCATGCAGCGGGGTTTTGGATTTAGGGCTTTTTGGTTTAGGGTTCGAGGGTCCATGTCTCGGGCTGTATTGGTTAAGGGTTTCGCAGAGGGAACTGGATCGCAAACCTTCGTTCTGCCTCTTCCCCTGACGAAAAATCAGCACCTCCGCCTTGAACACTGCAAGAACTACTTCTGAAGGCTCCGGACCTGAGAACCAGCAGTAACAAACCACGGAACAACATAGAGGCACACTTTAGTGCGATGAGGACTTAGGAGATTGGTAGCTGGGTCCTGACCTACAATTTCACGAACCCGTCTGCTGCAAATTTGATTTTCACCTAAGTCACCAGACTCAGGCCTTGTGGCATTGTGCTAGAAGGCATTCCATGGTGGGATAGGGGATCTCGAGGTTACTGATCCTGATCTAAGCCCTAAACCCTAAAACACTTTAACATGAAGGCCTAAGCCCTACCGTAAATCCTTAACCTTGACCGAATCTCTACTTGGGTCCCAATAATCTGCAACCACGATGCAGCAGCGAAGTCCTGATCAGCGAGCAGAAACTTCTGCTGCAGTTCCGATGTTTCCTTCACAGAGGCTTAGGGTTTGGGGTTTTTAGGGTTCAAGGTTTGGTTTGGGGTGTCGACGGTATTCATTGGCTCAGGGTTGAGGGCAAGAGCTGATGAGAAGGTACGAGCCAGAGCTGCTCAGAATGTGCAAATGTGCAAAAGAAGCCCTCTTATGCTAATGCCTGAAACCACCCCAAGAAACGTGGAACAGAGAACTTCTAAACCTCACTGAACCCTAAACCCTGAAACCCACCCAAACACCACACCCTAGGACCTAGCCCTAAACCCTTTCTTACAGATAAAATTATTGAAACCTCAGCCCGAAATCCCCCAAAGCCCGAAGGAAGCCCCAAACACAACCGTGTCTGGAAAGATTGGACCATTCTTACTTGGAGGTTCATGGGTAGTTACAAGTGGGGTTATAAGTAGGGTAACTATACCCCTGTAACCCATATTAGGGGACTGATAACGCCACTTATAACTACCCATGCACCTCCAAGTAACCCGAAACCCTAAGCCCGGAAAACGACACCACAATATCGTCGCCAGGGGCAGTTACGCTGCGGGTTCCTTCACTTTGTCGCCCAAACCCGAAACCGCGAAACCCTAAACCGCTGAGGGTTAGGGCTGAAAGTGTTAAACCCGAAACCCTGAAGCACTAGACCCTAAACCCCTGAACCCTGAACCAGTAAAAACCTAAAACCCCTAAACCCCTAAACCCCTAAACCCCTAAAACCTGAACCCCTGAACCCTGCCTGGAAGGATTGAAGCATTGCCTCCCTCACGCGACGAAGCTCCGATTCGGTAGCGCTGCGCTGGCCTTCAGCGGCACCAGCCTGCTCCGAGCCCAGAGACTCCAATAGCCCTTAATTAAGGAATATACCTTAAATCATATTAGGGCTCCTATCATAATTTAAGAAATATTCCTTAATTAAGGGGTTTTGGAGTCTCTGGGAGGTTCATGGGTAATGTACCCAAAGGCCCCAAAGTAGTTCCTTTTTAGGGTTCATCTATAGAATCCTATTAAGGTAATCTCGAAAAGGAACCACTTTTGGGGCCTATGGGTAGGGGCCTTAATAATTAGAATAGGGTTTCGGGGTATATTATAGTATAGTTAGAAAAAGGAAACCTAAGAGCAATATGGGTAATTTTTGCTGGCTTCTATGGTAGTGATAACTCCCCTTTAGGGTTTAGGGTTTGGGGGGTTTAGGGTTTAGGGTCTACTTGGAAGTTCATCAGTAGTTCTAAGTGGGGTTACAGCATTTAGGGCTTAGGGCTTAGGGGTAGCAGTGGGGTGATAAGTCCACCAATATGGCTCAGAAGTATAATCCAAGGGTAAAAGGACCCTTAATAAGGACCCCTAGGTATATACCCTTAATATAGCCATTATATACCCATGATATAGCCCACTTTAGGGTAGGGGTCCCCATTAAGGGTCCCTCCTTTTCTCCTTTGAGATAATCATCCTCAACCCTACTTGCAACTACCCATGCACCTCCAATCATAGGGATCCTTAGGGGTGTAGGGGGAGGGGGGGTACGGGGCCTTACGGCCCATAATAAGGACTAATAGGGCCTATTTAAGGAAATATAGTCCCCTACACCCCTCCCCCCTACACCCCTAAGGATCCCCATGATCCAAGGAGAGTCATCGTTCGGAAGGCTTTCAAAGGCGAATTGCATTGACAAGGTTCTATAAGGCTTCCATAGGGCTTTGGTTTAGGGCAGGTTTTTTCAACACACAGTGGCGCTTCGGCTTGGTGTGATAAGGTGTCTGAAGGCATTTAGAGCTTACGGTGTTTGGAATTTATTAGGACTGTGGGGTTGGGATTGTATGTTCGGGTAATACTTCCTCGTTTAGCCGGTGTTTACATAAGGGTCGCCGTCCCATGTTGTTTTTTGCTTCGGTAGGGTGCTGGGTTGTAGGACATAGGACGTAAGGTCGAATTACGGCTCAAGGGCTCAGATCTGTAATTTTTGATAGATGTTTAGGATTCATGGAAGGGGGGCAGTAATGACTTTTACATTTGCAACGCAATACTGCCCGAAAGAATCGGGGTCACAAAGCACTGAAACCAAAAGCTCCAAAAGCGAAAGCACCGTGCGCCGCTTTGCAACCATGCCGCCTCCTCTCCTGCTCGACGCTCCTTCAAGCTCTAGAAAGTCAGTCTTCAACAAGCTCAGCTTAGGATTCTTCAAACACCTTGCTCAAGCTGCTAGGGTCAAGCTCCGATGAAAGGCCCCTCTGTCATGGCGTGAACCATGGCAATGAGATTTAGGAAGCGTGGCACCTGAGAGACAGCCAGCCCAAGATCTAGAAGCATGCAAGGAACGCTCCCAGCAGGTTCAGAGTCCAAGTTTCAGAGGTTAAGGTTTAGGGGTCTTGGGTCTTCGCGAGAAGCCTTCAACCCTAAACCCTAAGCCCTCTTTTGGCTTGAACCCAAACATACGGTTGATGATATTATGAACCCTGCATTGCCTGAATGACCCTAAACTATGGGAATACAGGTATATTCCTTATTATTGGCAAGCCCAAACACTAAATTAAACTCCTAAACCCTCAACCCTAAACCCCTAAACCGCTAAACCCTTAATCCCAAAAGCCAACACATCTTGAACCAAGGTCCTCCTCATAAAGCTGTTCCACCCGGCTCTGGTAGTTGGCTACCTGGCTTCTACTTGGATAGTTAGGGTTGCTCAAGGGACCCTTTAAAGGGATCTATAAGGATTCTATAAGGGTATAGGGTTTAGGGCCTACTTGGAGGTGCATGGGTAGTTATACGTGGAATTATGTCCCATGATATGACTCATTATTATAGTTACCCGACATATAACCCAACAACTAAGTACCCATGAACCTCCAAGCGCCTGAAGGATCATAGGTACTTACAACCCTGATTCGGAAAGTCAGCCGTAGTTGAGACATGAAGCTGCTATCTTACTCACTGACACACCTGATCCTGCAACGATGTTTGTGGAACCTCTGAACCACCGGCGATCGGATGATAATCCGGGCGCTAAAAGAATCCAAAAGGGGCATTGGGCGTAGGAAATAGGCATTGAGAATATGCCATTCTCTAAAGTCTGCCGGAGACGATTCTACAAGACTGTATCGGCTGAGCAAATCATTCTTGGGTTGCTGCCCATGAAACCCTGTGCATTCAGTTCAAGTTCTGGTCTGCAATGTCATAGGGGAGACACTCAGAACCGCTGTTGCCGCAGCTGCTGCTCCTCCTCGTCCTCCTCCCTCTCTTCCTCTTTTTTCTGCTGCTGCTGATGATGCTGCTTCTTCTGCTGGTCCTGCTGTACAATGGTTTCAGTAACGGTACTAGCTACTAGTACTGATCACTTCTACCACCTACCGCAAGTACCACCACCACCACCAACAACACCACCACCACCACCACCACCACCACCACCACCACCACCACCACCACCACCAGTACCACCAGTACTACCACCACCACCACCACCACCACCACCACCACTGCTGCTAATACGAGTTTACAACGACCTGCTGCACTTCCGACTACTGCTCTAAAGTAATACAAATAGACTACGACTACTACGACGACGACGACTACTACTACTACTACTGCTCCTGCTGCTGCTACTACTACTACTACTACTGCTACTACCGCTGCTAGTGCTACTGCTCCTGCACTGCTACTGCTACTGCTACTACTCTGACTGCCGTGCTAGTCGACCATCATACTACCAAATCTGTGTACAACTATGCCACTATGTTCCTACACTTTTGTACTGCATGTTGCTACTCTGCTACGACGACGACTGACGACCGAGCTTCCTGACTAACAAAAGCGAGAATGACACGTCGACAGCAATAAGGACAGGGATGCCCAGCAGCCCAGCACACCAGAATGATCATACGATAGGGCCCTATGTTTACCAATGCTGTTTTGGGGGTTCCTTATTATGAACATAGTATAATGTGCCCCAACACCCTATTCTAATTATTACGGCCCCTATATCACGCAGCTAGCAATGGAAACAGTCGGAAACTGAACCATCCTGGCCTCCGCCCGCATGGAGGTCAGGTGTTCGGCCACCATGCCACAGCCCACGCGAAGGCCTTCGATGAAAGTCTGCTACGGTAGTGTAAGACTCCTTGGTGTATAGGGAGATTAGTGTAGGGGTTGTAGACCGGATCCAAGTGGATCCAAGTTACATGCAAAAACAGAATCGAAGAACCCAAACCCTACCCAAAGGCCCCATAGTCGTTCCTTTTTGGGATTACCTCGTCATATTCTAAATATGAACCCCAAAAAGGAACTACTTTGGGGCCTTAGGGTAAACCCTAAAACAAAGCGCACAAATCTCTACGCCCGTACCCGAACCAGAACCTCTGCAACCTAGGCCCTGAATCTATAATAGCGTCCCCTCAAAAGGTACTTTAGGGTTCTATGCTCGCGCCTCCTTAAAAAGGTACAACAGGGTTCTACGAACGACGTAGGAAAGCCACACATTCCAGCCCAAATCCCAAACTCCGATGCCAAAGTGCTGAACCCAAAGTCCCGCATTCTAAACCCTGTAGTACCTTTAAAGGGGACCCGATTATGGAATCCTTCAGTCCCGTTTTAGGGAAACCTTGAACCACACATCCGCAAGATTCCGCAAGACTACGCCAGAAACCCATCGAGATGATCCCTGAAAGTCGACCCTAAGGGTCCATGTACCCATATAGGCCATATAGAGATACATGAGCCCCAAAGTACCTATATCGGGACTACATTAAGGCCAACGTATATACGATGTGAGTACATGGACCCTTAAGGTAAGTTGAAAACGCACCACGACCGCAAAGGCCTTCGACGTGGGTCTGAAGAAAGCGCATCTCCTGGATGGCCGCAGCATTGCCTGGATGCTTAGGATTTGAGGTCTACGGCTTTGGGATCGAAAGCTCAGGCTTTGAGGTTCCAGAGATGAGACTTTAAGGTTTAGCGATAGTTAGGATTTGAGGTACAGGGATCTGGGATTCCATGTGTAGGGGGACTAGGGTTGGAGGGTACAGGGTTTTAGGGTTGGGGGGCTGGAGGTTACATAGCATGCAGCGTACGGGCTCATCCAGCGAGGATCGAACAGGAATCTGAATACATCAGAAACGGAAGTTTATAAACATATCCTCTCATAGACCTTCTATAATTAGTTGTACCACAGTATACTCCAGAGACTCTATTCCAAATATGCTGGCCCCTGCATTACATTAGGCACCAACGCCCAGAAACCATGAAAACCCGACATGAAGCCCCAAACCCCAAACCCTAAACCCCTACATTAGGCGCTACCTAAATATCCCAACAGTAGGTAACACATTCCCCCAACACCAATCAAAGGCTGTTACGCTGCATCCTCTTGCGGTCCAGGGTAAACCATAAACCCTTATCCCTGATCCCTGAACCCTTATCCTCGTACATTATAGTATGTTCTAGTATGTTATACTATATCATACTACAATATCTTGTACATAATACAGTATGCTATGCTATATCATAATACAATAACATGTATTGCAGTATGTTAAGTACATTATACACCCTACTTGGAGGGTCGGGGGACTTAGTAAGTAAGTAGTAAGTGGACTTATAAGTACCCTCATAGAGACCCTAATTGGGGTTATGGTACTCATAAGTCCCAAAAATAACCAGTTACTTAGTCCCCCGACCCTCCAAGTAAACCCTAAACCCTATACCCTTATAGAATCCCTATAGATCCCTTTAAAGGAACCCTAAATTGAACCCCTTATAGTAATGTGCAAGTTTCCCATCCCCTCCGTCTCCCCGACCCGATTGCGGAACACCCCTTTGACCCCAAACCCCTCAACCCTAAACCCTAAACCCTAAACCCTAAACTCTAAACCCTAAACCCTAAACTCTAAACCCTAAACCCTAAACCGTGGAAGGCGCCTTCATCCCAGGGTCTCTCCGCGAGTTCCCTGCGAAGGCGATCGCTCTCCAGTTTCGTGGCCGCGAAGCGCGCCTTTCGGCTTCTTGTGTACAGGGTTTAAGGGGTTTAGGATTGAGGCTATTTAGGGTTTAGGATTAAGGCTTTAGGGTTTAGGATTGAGGCTTCAGAGTTTAGGGTTTAGGATTGAGGCTTTAGAGTTTAGGGTTTAGGATTGAGGCTTTAGTGTTAAAGGGTTTAGGATTGAGGATTTAGGTTCAGGGTTGAGGGTTTAGGATTGAGGCTTTAGGGTTTGGGGTATAATATGCTATAATACGTCATAGAGTACGCGGCTTCATATGTATCCTTCTGATTCCAGGGACCTTATTATTGGGTCCTTGAATGTGTCTAAGGCCCTAGCTGTAAGGCCCTTGGAAGCATAGGGTGTACTATGCTACAATAACTGGATAAAAATTGCGATAATGTAAAGAAGACTATAACAGACAATAGGAGACTGTATTACACCATCGTATACTATGATATAGCTGCTTAGATGGGACGGTTTAGGGTTTAGTTCGGGGTGTGGGGCTTAGGCTTTCGGCTTTTAGGGCGGCTTGGGTTCTAGATCTGGTGTCTGGGGTCATAGGGCTGAGAGTTTGGGATTTCGGGGTTTCTAGAGCTTGGGCTTTGGCGGCTTTGTCGGACGGGTCTGACTGAGGCCTTGCACGATTGCACCAAATCCGAAAGTAGGAGTCTTTGTGACATGATTCAAGGCTATTAAAGGCTTGGAAGGATGAGACATATGTTTGCCTGGTTAGTTAGGTTGGGGATGAAGTTTGCGGGATGAGGGTGAGGGTGCATGATAAACCCTCTAAGCCCTAAGCCCTCACTCTAGCAGGAAGCGGAAGCTTAAGTACGCTTTCCTGGGCCCACGAGTGCCAGGAGCAGACGACTACCGTCTGAACACCCTAATCATACTTAAAGGGAACCCGGAAAGCCCTTCCAAAGTCTGTTCCAATCTTTTAGCCCCCAAACCCAAGCTCAATCATTCAAGCGCCTGTAGTAGCCCCTCCTGCAAACTCTTATCCGCACCCTGGGTCCGAAAAGAGCGTTTGTTTCAATGCCTTCCAAGCACCCCGGATAATCCATTTACGGGATCCTTCGGTTTAGGTGCTTTTATTGGGCCCCTACGGCTTAAAGACTTAAACCCCGAAGCCCAAACCCTGAACCCTAAACCCCAAACTCCTTTGGCCCCGAAAATCCCCTAAGCCTTGAAGACTTGAAGACTCAAGCCCAAACCCAAACCCCAAACCCTAAACCCTTCGGGCACCCAAATCCCCTGAGCCTTGAAGACTTCAAACCCTGAAGCCCAAGCCCTTAAGCCTTTGGGCAAAACCCTTTAAACCCTAATCTGTAAACCCCTTAAAGGAATCCCTGGCAGCGCCAAACCCTAAAACCCTTTGGGCCCCCAAAGCCCATGATACGATAATTATACTAAGGAACCCCCCCAAAGAAGATACAGGCAATTCTTAGAGCCCATTATAGTTATAGTAAACCCTGAAACCCTAATCCCCAAGCTCTAAACCCTAAGCCCGACACCCCTAAACTCTGATCCCCAAACCCTTTGGGCCCCTTATGGCTATACCCCCCTTAGAACCATAATAAACATAATAATGCTAATATTCATTCTCTTGGGTTTTCTTTGAACGAATATTATTCCTAAGGAAACTATAGAAGGCACAGTTGGACCGGTAGCCTGAGCTGCAGAGAGCTGTGCTCGGAGCTCCACCGCCTGCTTAAAGGCGGCTGTTCCATCGAATGCTTAGGGCTGAAGGGATCCTTCAGGGCTCCTTTAAGGGATCTATAGGGTTTGGGGCTTAGGGTTGGGGTTGAGGGGTTTAGGGCTTAAGGGGTTTAGGGTTTGAGGGCAGAAAGCATGAGCCTGAACAATTGCATATCTAAGTGTATGTTGCTACTGATTAAATGCGTGTGTATTTCGCCACACCCACGAGACACGGACAGGCAGACCGGAGTTCCAAGGCGTTTGGGTCCTGGACAGTTTACTTGGAGGATCATGGGGCTTTGTAAGCAAGGGTTTAGGGTTTAGGATTTAGGGTTTAGGGTTTAGGTTATGAGTATGCGTAACTACCGTTACCTTGTTTATAACCCCCGTTAATAAGTCCCACGATCCTTCGACAGGGTGTCGGGCTGGAGCTGTGGGTATGGTGTGTTGGTGATCGACATCTTGCGATTCCCTTGATCGAGCCTCCGCACCGGTTCATGAATGTGACATCGGCAGCATGATCAGGAATTTGCAAGACACCAGCTGAACTGCCTTGTCGTATGATGAGTGACATTGCAAGGTGTCAAAATGTCGCCCGGCCGCCATCAATTCCATTCCAGCAAAGACCCTGACAAACCTATCCCCCCCTCAAAACAACATAAAAGCCCAGGACCCGGGCAAACACCTCGGAACTTGGATGTCTGCTTGCAACTACTCCGAATGGTGAGATCCGCTCACAACATGTTTCAACAGGATTGTAGCCGGAGTGCCAGCTTATTCTATCGGCCTCGGTACGGCATCGCTGGTCTAGCTGCTCCATCTCGTGGCGGATGCCTGCTCAAGGCTCCACGAATGCAGCTCCTTGAGTTCAAGATTTAGGGCCTAGGGTTTACGGTTGTGTAGCTCTACTCATCTACTCAAGACACTCTAAAGCTTAAGACTAGTGGGTTCAGAGCTTTGGGAGTAAAGCCCCATCCTACTGTGAAATCTCCTATGCCCCCCCCAGAAAAACAACCCAAACTTTCGCACAGCTTCAGACTCTAGAGGGTTGGATTGCGACCGTGAAACACGGTCGATACAGCACAATGTAATGCAGTTGAAAGCGCAATGACGGCCCTTCGCGGAGTCTTACGACGCGTGCCCTTGTTGCGACTGTCGGACTGACGGTGTTGTTGCGTGGGAGAAAGAACAAGGAACCAAAGACAGGAAGGTAAATTTCTCACCACCAAAATGGCTTGAGGATGGCACTGTTGAGCGTATGAAAATGCAGGAAAGACGGAAAGTCCAATGGTGTAGCCCCGAAGCTTATTAAACCCAAAGTCCCAAACCATAAGTTCTGAGACCTGAAGTCTGGACCCTGAAGTGAAGCGGCGATAGCCTGAAATCCAA